GGACTTTGTAACTACACAGTTAACAACAAGCTTAAAACAGTTCAGTAATAAAAGCACAACACTCACCAGCAACATCCAGTATTCGCCAGCTGATCTGCTCCCACAAATTGAGCATAGTGTTAGTTCAGGCAGGACACGATGTCAAGGTCAGCTGACATCCCAGCTACATCAGCTGATCTCAAACAACCAGTGGAGCAGCTGATAGATCACATGATTCCTTTCTATGCAACCAATTGGTGATTCTCATTCAGGGCTCCCTATTTAAACTGCTCTGGCCTGCCTACTGTTGCTGCTTCCTCTGCAAGCTGCTTTGCAACCCACCTCCTCCTTTTGCTGTATCTGACTTATCAATGTCATCTCTGTTTGTCATTGATGCTGCTCTCCCTGCCTTGGGCTTTCCATGTAGGCACATGCAAGGGCAGGGAGGTTTGCTCACTCTGCCTCAGGCTTTCCTCGTATGCGTGTGGAAGGGCAGACAGAGAGAGGTGTGCTCTCTCAGGCTTGGGCTTTCTGTGTAGGCCCGAGGAAGGGCAGAGGGGCCCCAGAACAGAGCTATACCACCAAATATAATACTGCAAATGGAAAGACAGTTTTCTTTGACTTAAATGGTCCTGACTAAAATTGGCTTTTCTGTCGTTGATGTGACAATAGCCGAGCTAAAAGCACCTCTCTGAAAAGTTGAGAGACATTTAACTACAAGCACTCAGAGCGGCCACATAAAAAAAAAAGGTGGAGCACTTTGAAAAACGACGCTGGGTGTGATGGGGTTTTTTCAAGGCAGCTGCATGCAGCCACACGCTCTCCCCTCATTGGTAACATCTGAAAAAAAGATGCCGCCACTGAGAAAAATACACAAAGTGGACGCTTGCCCTTATTCATTCTTCATCATCTGTACTATTTAGAACCCTGGAGTTATGCTTCAGTTATCAGATGGAGGACATGGAAACACATACTGAAAAAGACATTTTGTTCTGTTGTGTCCACAAAACAGAAAAATCCTGCCAATGTCAGGGTGAACTTGTGGTTAAATAGCCACCTCAACTACAAGGTCACAGGTTCAGCTGCCAGCTGAGGGAGGTGCATTTGTCAGAGTGACCTTGAGGAAGATTGGACTCCTCGTTCATTCGGTTATTATAACTTGTTAGAGAAACCCAGGAGAATAATAACAATACAGCATATTAAAAAGTAGTACATCCATGTGGGAAAAGTGCCCTCAGTCAGATGGGTTTGTACCTGTATTATAACATAATGACATTAAGGAAACATCAGCAGCTCTGCCACTAAAACAATACGCATTATGTGCTGAGCTAAGAAACATGAGGAGCTTTTATTACAGGTGAGAATGTATGTCACGCTCTTAATGTTGGAGCCAAAAGCTGTAAAAGCGTTTTGAGAATGAAGGTAGGGCTGGGCAATATATTGATATTAAATGGACATCGTGATATGAGACTAGATATCGTGATATCGTGGTGCAGTGGTTAGCATTGTCGCCTAACAGCATGAGGGTTTGATCCCAGGGTGGGGGAGTCCTATTGTGTGGAGTTTGCATGTCCCCGTGTCAGCGTGGGTTCTCTCGGCTTCCTCCCACAGTCTAAAGACATGCAGGTTGGTGACTCTAAATTGCCCGTAGTCTGGTGACCTGTCCAGGGTGTACCCTGCCTCTCGCCCAATGTCAGCTGGGATAGGCTGCAGCCCCCCCACAACCACTAACAGGATAAGCAGTTACGTAAAATAAGTGTTGTCTTTTCCTTGTTTTAAAGGCTGCATTACAGTAAATTGATGTAATTTTTTTTAAATTACCAATCTGTTCTAGCTTTTCTAGTATATTTTGTGAAGGCACCAATAGTCGACAAGCAATACCATCGTAATATCAATATCTAAGTATTTGGTCAACATTCTTGATCATATTTGATTTTCTCCGTATCATCCAACTCTATATGAAGGTTTTAGGGCTGCCCCCAGCCAAGAATTTTCCTAGTCAACCTATAGTCGTTATTTAGGGCCATTAGTCAACTAGTCACCTGCATGTTTATGATATTAATGTAATTATGAAATTTTATATTTTGGACGGGGCAACACAATGGTTTGAGCCGCCTGTTAATGACGCTGTGGGCTAATGGGCATGTAGCTACTTCCATGTTTCAGATGATACGTCATGTTTGTAGTCGACCAATGAAGATGAGTTTACATATCACCTTGGGTTCGTCCTTCACCTTCTTAAAATGATCCCACACTTTGGATTTCCTGCCCGACATGTTATTAACTAGCCTGTGGAATAACTGCAGGTACCAGCCCTGGAAATTAACCTGACTCCTGTCTGACTGCTGAACGTGGACACTTCCTGTGTCTGTCCTTTCAAATTAAATTCACACATGGTCCAGTCATATAGGTTTTGATTTATTTTTGACAAGGTGCAGCTCCTAATTGAGAGTTGTTGTTTTTTTTCTGCGACTAAGCGACCAATAAAACCCTTCCAGACTAATGACCTTTCTGGTTGACTAATGTTTGGTTGATCATCGGGGGCAGCTCTAGAAGATTAACTAAACAGGTTCACATAACAATGATTTATATAATTTGTCACTCATCCAACGCAAATGACTCTGAATAAGAAGTCCAAAATTTAAAGAAAAGCGTTCACAGTGAAGAGACTTATAAGTGCCACTGCATCCTTATTATCACTTCCAACATGTCTGCCACCTTAATGTTATTTTTATTTTTTTTTTATTTTTTTTGCAACCAGTCATGAATTTGAGGCCCTGGCTGTGTTGAAACGCCGTCTATCGATTCAGAGAAGTAATTTCAACATCACAAGAGAGCAAATCAATGGGATGTCGAGTTATCAAATCACCTTGTGGTTTTGGGTTTTATTTTTCTCCTCTCTGCCTCCACGCCTCTCTCACTCTCCTTAATGTCTATGTTTTCCCCCTCTGTCTTCCCCTTCCTCCTTTTTCTTTGTCATATCAGTCTCTTCATCCTTCCCCACACCAACTCTTTTCCTCTCTCTCAGCTGTTCTCTCATTCCTTTCCCTGCTCTCGTTCCTGACCTCTGCTCGTCCCACTCACAGGCTGTTTCTTGACCTGTCTTCCTCCTCCTTATGTTGTCCCTGCTTCTCTGTATTCCATAACAAAGACTTCCCCACAGCCTTGACGATCTACCAAAGCCAGAATGGAAGCTGCAACAGTTTGAGAGAGTAAACTGAACCGAGGAGGGTTTATCTCCCTCCATTTAATCCCTGCTCAGTTTAGAACAATATAATTGAGTCGATTGATTTGAATTATTGAAGCAGAAGGGTGTAGTGTTGTGGGGAAGAAATGAATCACTGGAAGCAGAAGAAAGGATCATGCCAGAGCTGTCAAAACTTTGTGATATTTCTACATCCTGTGCGGAGAGATGTACGTCAGAATTCAGAATAGGCACAAGAAGCAAGATCTCTCAGACCTGAGAGGCTGCTGATGTGCAGGTTTCTGACATCAACATGTTAAAGACACATTTTATAGTTTTACAATACCTCTGTCTTCAAGTGGTGGTGCAGTGGGTATGACTGTTGCCTCACAGCAAGAGGGTTCCAGGTTCAAATCCAATAGCCAGCCAGGGCTCTGCTGTGTTCTCCTCATGTCAGCGTGGGTTTTCTCCAGGTGCTACAGCTTCCTCCCACAGTCCAAAGACATGCAGGTTAATTGGTGACTCTAAATTGTCCGTAGGTGTGAATGTGAGTGTGAATGGTTGTCTGTCTCTATGTGTCAGCCCTGTGATAGTCTGGTGACCTGTCCAGGGTGAACCCCGTAAACATCATGTATGCAGCATTACATTTTGCATGGGCTAGGAAAATCACATTAATGACATGATGACTTCCATTCCCGACTGATTAAAGCTTTATTAATACAAAGAAATTGGAAGTGTAATTATGACTTCCAGTCAGTCCAGTCAGTTTTTCTGTCTTCATCTGCTAAATGCGCTGCAGTTTTGAGGCATTACGTCTGTGTCCCAGGGCGTCACTCTGACGTGAGACTTAACTGCTATCTGTTCAGCATCAGAATGTCATCTTTAGTTTCTTAATAAAATCCCTATTGTTTGTCAGGAAAGCGTTTAACAGCCCTTTATGTTTCCAGAAAGTTCATCATTAAAATGTCAAGATGCAATCTTGTGGACGGCCACACTGGAACACTGGAAGCTTGTTTCCCTCTCATTTTTGTATAATCTCCATTGTTATGTAGCACATTGTCTCTTTCTGTTCTTCTTTCGAAGACGAGGCCCAATAAGTGGAGTCCAGTTTATTTTTTTATCTTTTTCTTTAAAAATCTGTCCTTTCAGCCAACAGCTTCCTTGTCTCTACTTTTGAAGTGAATGTCATAAAATTATCCTGCTCTCAAAAACATTATTGTTTAATTGAAGCACATTCAATTTTCAAATTTGTTCAAGTTTTTGACTTTTAAGAAAAAAATATTTGCAAGCTTTCTGATGTCTTTACGCACCTGTCATGTCTTAAAATTCATCCAGAAAGGAGCCGTGATGACTATTATCTAAAATCTGTGTGTAAATTAGGCAGCTCAACTGAACCATGGCATTTCCCCCTGTAAGTCTGTCCCTAAAGGGCCATCATGAGATTTGTGAAATCAATTAATCTTTTTTGTGGAGCCAAAATGGCCATCAGTTTCCTCAAATCTCCCCTGTAAATTAGGCAAATGAGGCACGATAAGTCTTCCTGTCTCTCATTCCCAGAAGTGGCTCAAAGTGCCTTCTTGACATCCACGAGATCGATCTATTTTCCATCTGAAGCCAAAGAGGCAGAGTGGCCCCCAGATTCCTGAAATCCCCGGTGTAAATTAGGCCGCTGAACCATGATATGTCTTCTTGTCAGTCTCTCCCAAAAGAGCCATAATAAGATTCTTGAGTTCCACGCGTTCCTCTTCATCGAGAGATGAGAATGGCAGAGAAGTGTTAATTGCCGTTGTAAGATATGCACATGAGCTGTAACATCTCTCCCATGTGTGTCTTTCAGAAGGGTCATCACGAGATCCGTGAACTCCGCCAGTTTCATTTCACCAGCTGGCCTGACCACGGCGTTCCCTGTTACGCCACCGGATTGCTCGGCTTCATACGACAGGTCAAGTTCCTCAACCCGCCTGATGCTGGGCCTATAGTGGCACACTGCAGGTAAGAACACAGTCACACACACACAAAGCACACACAGGTGGTTTTGTACAGGAGATAAACCTAATTCTCTGATGCTGCTGGTCAGTGGCTGCTCAGAGAAGACAAGGACAAACAAACACAACCACTCACTCAGTCATACAGCTCTTACCTGACGCTGCCATGGTGAAGTGAAAAGGGTTTAGCAGTGCCAGTTTAACACAGAGCATGGAAATGAGCACAGCTTTGAATGTTTAACACATTTTATTTTATTTTATAGCATGTTATTGACCTAACATAACTACTTACTTCTTAGTCTCTGACATGAACAGAGTATTTTTCACCCCAGGACAGCTGCTGGAGTACGGCATGCACTCCCAGTTTGGAGGGACGATAGGCTATGTCACGTATCTTTGCAGTTGCTGTAATGCAGGCTTTGAAGACCTTTTTCTCCAAATCACTGCTGAGCGATACTCATCATGTTATGTGATGTATTTTTCTTAATATTTGGACTACAAAAACAATGCTGACATCATGAGAAGGCTATGAAATCACCTCTGTCCAACAGTGTTTAATTCTCGAAATGTGTTTTCGAGTAAATGAAAATGATGGAGCAGGTCACATTTAATCTGACACTGCCTGAAAATCTCTGTCTATAGCCCTTTTTAAATAGGAGTTGTGCAAAGTTGCAGGAAAGCCCAATCAGTCTTCTTTCAGCATTGGCAGTATAAAAGCAAAATCGGGGAGTGCAGCAAAATGCCGCCTGCCTACTTTTGTTTATACACAATGCGCCTTTTTTGGGGCAATGGGGGGCGTGAGCAAGTAACAAAACGTGTAGCTCAGCGTGTGACGTAAACAGTGACGTGGGAGGGAAGCCGCGGCTGGTCAGTCCTTTGGCGGTCCTCTCGTAAGTCGGTCCGTCCTTCACCATCCCCGTCATCTGACGGTTAGTGGCCTCTTCGTTTGCGAGGACAAGGAGGGCGCGCAATTCCTTGTCTCCCCAGTTGCTCATCTTTACAGTGTCTGTCAGGTTTGTGTTTCCCTCTTGCTACTAGCTGCTCGCTAATTCCTGCTATCAGCTGTTTCCTGTTTATCCACCACCAGTGGGTCGCACGTGCAGCGTCATCAACAGCTCCTCCCACAAGTCTTCAACAGCCGCCTCGTTCTGTTTAAACTAAAAGGGTTCCGCCAATATGTCTACCCTACGAGGCGGAAAATTGGGCACCTCGGATCAACCCGCCAATCCGCCTCTGTGTGTCTAAACGCTTGCAGCTTGCCGGCAAAACGGCCCAACATTCGCCGAAAATCTGGCAGTGTAAAAGGGGCTTTTGTTTCACTATCAGCCTCCTACTCTTTTTTCTTTTCATGTTCTCTTTTCTCCCTTTCCTTCTCAGTTAAGACATTAGCCCAGGTATCAGTCTGGATTATAGTGATCACACACACACACACACAGTCTCTTGGTATAAATTAGATCAATGGTGTTAACCTTTAAAAAGTAGGCAACAGAAAAAAAAAATCACCTCCCATCCCACTATCATCCCATCACCATCATCATCTACCAGGAATAGAGGAAGTAAAAAAAAAAAAAAAAAGTGACAGGTTTAAGATTCCCATGGCGACAGTATATTTAACCTCATGTTCTGTTCTTTATGGGACATAACAGTTCGACTGTGGGGGCCGGGTTGTCAGCAGGCACAAGCTCTAAAAGGTCAGCACTCTGACAAGCCATGAAAAAAGGTTTAGAGTAGATGCCTCATGTTGGCACGAGCATTTAAAATGAATGTATTCCATTTGGTGGTCCACTTTAATACGGCACATAGCTTTGAATGGGAGGCCACAGAGGAAATAAACCCCTAACCTGCTGAGGTTAGTGCCTGGTGGATATAAAGGACCCTCGTAGAGTCGCTGTACCTTTCCACAAGCGCTCCATTTATTTACAGCAGTAGTTAAACACCTTTAAAGGGCTTTCTTTTCTTTCTTTTTCAGCATGTTCCTGCTAAATAACCACAAATTGCATACTGTTGTCTTACTGCCAAACATGTTCTAAAGCAAACTATAAAATTATTTGTCCATAAATACATTTTCTTTCTCTTATCGTCTCACATGCCGCATTTTTGCGCCCTCGAATTCATTGTTTTCAGTGTCAACACATGGCAGGCGCAGGACAGCAGAGGACTCAGAGGAGCACTTGCATTCAGTGAAGCTTATCTGTCATGGACAATTCATAAAAGACACACACTCATGGGCTCCTGATCCCCAAACAGGACAGACAGATAGAGACAGGGACAGACAGGGGGAGAGAGACAGACAGGTAATTAGATGAAAGAGAGAACACATGAGCACAGAGTGGAGGGAAACTGCGGACAGACAAACGAGGCGAGCAGACACGCCAACAGACAGCCATAGTAAAAGTATGTGGACGGACAGGCAGGAAGTTATGGCAGTCACTTCCAATTTCCGGGGGCACGCTGACGCTATTGGCCTGTGTCATGAGGCTTTTCAACACACACATACACACATGCACATGCACACAGAGGCCCAGCAGTATTCTGGTCTCAACATTAATCACAGAGGTTGACAGGTAATCTGCCGAGGCGCTCCCTCCTTTTCTCTCTCTTTCTCCTTTCTATCTTTCCTTCTCTCCGCTCCTCTCCCTCCTTCTGTTTCTCCCTCTCTCTCTGGCTGTCTCTGGGAACTGTCAGGGGGATTGCAAAGTGAAAGATAGGTTCCTCCCCTCCCTCCTCCTATCCCTCCATTCCTCATCCTCTCAGTTCCCTCTCCATCCCTCCATCCGTGCCTCCTTTCCTCCCTTGATCTCTCCCCTGTGACGACCGCTTCTATCACTCCCAATCACTAACCTCCTTCCACCATTCCTCCTCTCCCCCTCCTTCTGTCCCTCTATTCAATCCATTCATCCATCTGTTCGTCTGTCCCTCCATCCGTCTTTCCCCTCCAGGCATTACTGTTCAGGATGTGCCACCTTAACACCTGACACAGAGTATTAAAGTCTCTAAGTGTTAGTGTGTGTGTGTGTGTGAGACAGAGCGACAGAGAGACTCCACCCTCATGCTAAACTCCGTGTGTATTCCAGGCATCACGTAGGCCATCACTTTTTCTGTCAGACAGACACTGAAGTCTCACAGCTTCACACATCATATGAAAGCTAATATAAAATGTGACACTTATCAGTAACAGTTAGCAGTGACACCTCTCAGCATGTGTCTCCTGTTCCTAACAGAAAATAAACAGCGTTAGTTGTTTGTTCAAACACTGAAAACAATATGTTTACATTTATGGCGGCACGGTGGTGCAGTGGTTAGCATTGTCGCCTCCCAGGAAGAGGACTGAACCAGGTGTGGGAGCCATTCTGTGCAGAGATTGCATGTTCTCCCCTGTGTCAGCGTGGGTTTCCTCCAGGTGCTCCAGCTTCCTCCCACAGTCCAAAGACATGCAGGTTAACTGGTGACTCTAAATTGTCCGTAGGTGTGAATGTGAGTGTGAATGGTTGTCTGTCTCTATGTGTCAGCCCTGTGATAGTCTGGTGACCTGTCCAGGGTGAACCCTGCCTCTCACCCAATATCAGCCGGGATAGGCTCCAGCACACTCATGACCCCCATGAGGTTAAGCAGTTACGAAAAATTAATGAATGAATGAATTATTTGACAGATATATCTAAATATTAGGGACGTGCCATATCATCTCGTTCACGATCATACCGGTATTCATGTCGTGATACTCGCGATATTTCGACTTGTTGACATATTGACGTCATACTGTTACCCACGGCAACAACAAGCATGGCTGAAAGCGAAATTATTACAGACTCTGCAGTCGTTCCAAAAAGAGGAGCAGCTTCAGTAGTGTGGAATAAACTGTGGCATCCTGATTGTTTTATGAACAGCCCCGGACTTCTCAGACTCTTTTAGAGACTTACCACTCAGAGGGAACTCATTCAGCGGCTCCTCTGGCAGCAGCACAGCGTCTCTCCCTCTCCTCTCTCGCTGTGCGTACACTGGAGTCATTGTCGTCATTTTGTCATAAACCTTTGGTAATGTAAACCTCGCAGTTCAACAGAAAACTCCATATATGTGATTGTGTGACAGCTGTGGTGTCATAACAGCCTGTCACAGGTTACAGCGTGATGATTAGAGGAGAAATGGCAGAGCATAAAGGTCCAGGTGTCAAAAAAAAACCAACTCAATCATTTAGGATTTTAATAAAAGAAGGAAATCACCTGTTGATTTATATATATAGATCCCAGGGGACATTTTACGTATTTGGGAGCTGTTTAAATGTGTAATTTGTGGGAGATTTTATTTTTTTGAACTATTAATATTGTCACAGAATCTGAGTCTCACTCTGAGTTACTGTTGTTGTTCACAAACTAAAGAAAGAAGAGATCATTTTAGTTTAGTTTTTACTGAATATTTGAAGCAAACTGTAAAACTAGACATAACATTTTCTTTTTTTTTTACTAATTTGTCATACTGTCAAGAATATCGTTATTGCAAAAATACCTTGAAATATCCTGATATTATTTTAGGGCCATATCACCCACCCCTATTATGTATGTCGTGGCTGTTTGTTTGTCTCTATAGTGCCGGTGCAGGAAGGACGGGCTGTTTCATTGCAGTGGACATCATGTTGGACATGGCAGAGAATGAAGGCGTGGTGGACATTTTCAACTGCATCCGAGAGCTGAGATCACAACGAGTCAACATGGTCCAGACAGAGGTTGGTGTGCACGTGCACACATACACAAAACACACACACACTTTTGTTGGACATATATTTTTGCAAAAAGTTCACTGCTTAGGATGAAATGGTATGCACACTTGCATATTTGAAGTATATGGGAACATTCAACTGACCCTTTGCTAAGCCCCGCCTCTTTGTGGTGGTTTGTCAAGCTGTCTGAGCGAGCATGGAGCCCACACTGTAACTAACTGCACTCCCCGAAGAAATATTATCATATTTTTAATAAGGGAATATCAGAGAAAAGAAGACAGCAAGGTCTACAATATGTGTTTTAAGGATGTATCCAGGATGTCGAACTGACTCAGCAGTAAAAACAAGCTAAAAAGAGAAAGACAGAATTAAATCCTTACGTACAGATCACAGTATCACCTGGCAATTGAGACAGAAGACGGTGAAATTAAAGGGAAACTGCTCATTTTAACCAGCTATACGTCATGGCAGTGTGTGCAGAAGAATGGTGTTGGGCTTTCCCTTGCGCCACCAGCACCTGGACCTCCGCCAGTTGGTGGGGAGCTCCAGGTGAAGCCAAACACTGCTCATGTGCACACACTGTGATGACACGCAGCTGGTTGAAAATCAGCAAAGTTTCACAGATACAATCACAAAAAAAGCAAAAGCAGCATGTCTATAAATACAGTTGGCTAGTACTTCACTAGCTAGCAAACTTCTTAACCCTGAACTTTTCAGGGTTTGATTTTGGAACGAAGGAGAAACATCTCCTTCCAACCTCTCATAGTTGGTGCTGGTCCATGCTACGCTACGATTGGCCAGACTGTGTTCAAGGGGCGAAAATGAAGGGTAAATTTACGTAAGAAGAAATCCTCAGCAGTTCGTGATTATTGATAGGAAGTGGAAGCTTAACTTGATGAGAAGCACAACAGTGAGATGGTTTTTCTCAAAATTTTAAACATGCTCAGTGTTTTAAACTTTCTTTATCTCTAATACATCCAGAAATGTTCCACAGAATACTAGTTAGTATGTTGGAAAAACAGGACGCTTAATTAGCTTCATTAGCTCGATCTATCAGTCCGTCTGTCTGTCTAGTTGGAGTTTGAGCAGCAGGAGCATAAAGAGAGGCAGAGCATCTCAGTACTTCTCTCAGTCTTATATCATCCATCCCGATCAGCCTTTCAATATTAAACATTCCCTGAATAATAGATGACACCAGTGCAAACACACACAGACATACACAGACACACACACACACACACACACACACATAAATACCATTCACACAAACTTGCTAAAGCAAACATGCACACATTGAAACACACACAGATTTAGGATTCTTTGTCTCAGTGTGTTTATGTGGCAGGAATATACCATGAGACGCGCAAACATACACAAATACATACAGAAGAGCATACTCACTGTAAATGTATCCATTCAGCTGTGTTTTTAAGTTTCCTAGAGTCGTCTCCTTTGGTCTGAATCAGGGACTCATGTTGTTACAGAGTTGTATAATTGCCTAGAGTTGGTTCGTGTTCTCACGGCAGCATTTACAAGCGGACCAGATCAAATGCCTTGTGTGAGAAAGCTGCTCTTGATTGGTCAGAATTTCCATGTGGGAAAAATCCAGGAAGTAAAGCAAACGTTGAAGAAGAGTACACTTGCAAGATAAATGTGACACTTTCTACGCAGGTTGATTTTAGCGCTGCTCATCGTGGACTATATTGCTGTCATTGTTCATTTTAGTCAAACCATACAGTTTGAAAACGAGGCGCGGCTCCAACTAGAAAACAATGTTTTGATGCATTGGATGTGCTGAATGTGCATATTAAGGCAGTACAGGAGGAGGTGCACATTAATAATCCTCCAGGACTGTAACATGCTCATGTTTAACCCAAACAATGTGTCATGTGACTGCAGTTGCTTCACATCCAGGTCGGAACACCTTCTCACCACAAAACAACCGCACCAGAGTTCGGTTGTTTTGGTGCACACCTGAGTGTGATTGCTGTGTTCACACCTGCTCAAATGAACCACACTGAGGGGGCAAATGAACTTGAGTTCTATTGAACTGAACCAAACAGGGCAGGTGTGAAAGCACCCTTAGGACACATTCACACTGGCCCTATTTGGTCCGCTTTTAACAAACCCCGGTCCGCTCTCATGGATAGCTCGGTTTGTTTGCAGTGGTGTGAACGCTCATTTGAACTCTGGTGCGGACCAAAGAAGCGATTCCTGGTCTGCTTGAAAACTGGGGGTCTCAGTTCACTTGCAAGTGAACCCTTGTGCGGTTTGCTTATAATGGGAAATGCAAACGGACTACCCAGCGAACCAAAGAGAGGAAGTGACTATGGTCTGGACTGTTCTGGTGTGAATGCGCCCTTAGTTGCCAAAACTTTGTGGCAGTTAACTTTGAAATGACTTAAATGTTCTCAGGCTCTTTTTATTTGCAGTTTCTATATCAGGTGATATAGAAATGACCAGCACAAACTCATAGATGAATTCCCCAACTTAGCTAACTACTACTTATAAAGTGACGGCCAGGGGTGTGGTAGTGGGTAAAAAAGTGGGACTGATTACCCAGGGCCAAAATGGGATGGGGAGCCATCAAAAAGCCTGGAATTTCTAAGCAATTAGTGCCACAACTTAATTAAAATAGGCTGAATAAATCGGTTGAGTAAACTCTAAATTTCAGACTGCTTATACATATAGAATTTGATGCTACGCCCCTGGTGACAACTACACTGCTAGCTCCAGGAAGAGCTAGCTGTCAGGTCAAGCAGAGTCTATTTTTTATGTGTTTTTCAGAGTTTATTGTTCAGGATGTATTTCCTAAAAAGTTCTTTCTGTCAGCCGAGAACTTGGTTTACTTACTACTCTCTACACGGTGTCATAATTTGTTCTAATTTTGTACTATCAGTCACTTTTAAAGAGTCTGCATCTTCAAATGTTTCGTGTTTCATTTTGGAACAGAAGCATTCATTTCTTCTCTAAGCTACCTTAAGCCGACCTAATCCATCCCGCCTCTGCATTCCATTTGTACTACTGATGAAAACCTTGCATATCCAGAAAGTCAACTTTGCCAGGAATAAAGAAAAACAGCCTCATTTTCAGAGTGACAGCTCAGGCTCGGAGCCTGAAATTGACTTTTGAATGGGTTTTAGAAGTGCTAGGTTCAGAAAAGTTACCCAGGGCATCACTTTGAGTGTTTTCATATGACAGCAGTGGCATGAAAGCTGCTTGTGTGTGTGTGTGTGTGTGTGTGTGTGTGTGTGTGTGCGCGCATGCATATGCGTGTGTGTGTGTGTGTGTATGCACTTGAAACCAAGCTAAATGCATCCTGCCCTGCCTTTTGAATATGTGTGGGAGCAATTTGTGTCAGTGTAGAAGCCGCTTGACGCTATTATAATCCTGCTCCGCACAACACAAAGCAATTAATCTTTTAAAAGGCACAGGGGAAAGATGCGTGTGCCTGTGTGTGTGTGTGTGTGTGTGTGTGTGTGTGTGTGTGTGTATGTGTGTATGAGTGCTTGTTTGTGAGTTCCGGTGTGTTTTTTGCATGTGTGTGTGTGTGTGTGTGTGTGTGTGTATGTGTGTATGTCACTAGAGTAGGTAATGGCCAGGAGAGGACATTTCAGGGATGCTTTTAAAACTCTCCTCTCTGCTCCAAGGGCAACAATTAACATTCGACAGAGAGAGAGAGAGAGAGAGGGAGGGAGGGAGATAAAGAGAGAAGCAAATTGAAAAAGCGAGACATGGCAGACAAACACAAGTGTGAGAGGAAACAAGAGAAAGAAAAGGGAGAAAGAGAAATAAAAAGTGAACGGACTCGGACGGAGATAAATTGGACAGATAGCGTGAGAGGAGGAGGGAGAGGTGAATTATCATGCACAGTGGCTGCTGCGGCTCATGGTGGCTGATGCTTTTACCAGCGAGCTAGTTGGAGCACAAAGAGCACACTTGATCCAGAGCACAGAAACACTGCAGGGCACTACTCCCTATTAATTCACTTTCAGGCTGCCGAGAGAGCATGAGCGCACAAATAATGAATTCACACACACACACACACACAAAGCAAACAAAAACTGTGTTCACAGTGGGATGTTTGAGTTTGTCGGAGACTTGAAAAGGCAGGAGATGCAGCTTCCTCTGTCCCAGAGGTGTCGACGCTCACAGCAACACTAAGAAACTACACTCAAGTCTTCTGTCTGCTCACAAAGGCCACAGATTTGTCCGTTTTATTCAAAAGAAATTTGAACCAGAGTAGTTCTTTGAAAAGCTGCTGTTGCTCGTGTTGCAGGAGCAGTACGTGTTTGTTCACGATGCCATCTTGGAGGCGTGTCTATGTGGGAATACAGCCATACCAGTGTGTGAGTTCAGAGCCATTTACTACAACATCAGCAGACTGGACCCACAGACCAACTCCAGCCAGATTAAAGATGAGTTCCAGGTGAGCATACACACGCACACACTTATTTGTGAGGACGCCACATGGACGTTTGGAGACTCAAACGTTGACCCTAAAGATTATAATAAGTGGTTAACATTTGGGTACCACCATTTTGTGCCCCAGTGTTCTGCACTATGTGACTGTGGTTGTCTTTGTACAATCTGATTAGTACTTTAGTCCAGTGTCCTTTGCTCCATGAGGGGCCGTACACATGCTGTATTTTCATGCCCTCAAAGCGCTCGTTTTCAATATTGATGCGTGGCAGACGCGCTCCAGAGCCAGAGCGACGCCATTGCAACACCCAAGCATTTCCAATCGCCTGTTTTTCAGGGTGCGACAGCTGCACCCTGACGTAAACAGAGTTTTACTTATGGAACGCAACACAGTGCACCTCATGTGAAGAACAACCAATCACAGCCAACAGATATCTTTCCCTTCTTCTGTAAATGTCAGTCTGTGGTAAATATGGAGAAGAGGTTGATCACTTGCAGGGCGACCCAGAGCTTTACATCTGTCCCCCCAACAACATTTTAGGCTGAATACACACCTAAAAAAGAAGAGCCAAAAAAGAAGAGCCACTCAGGGTTTCAGGTAAGTAGGCTATAATACGGTGGTGTGATAGTCGCTTAGCAACCTCAGATGCAACCTTCCTCCATGCTCTTGAAAGTTGGCACCGAATACGCAGAAGAGTAGTGGCATGTGTACGGCCCATATATCTCTGTATGTAATCATTGAATAAATAACTAGGCAATGTTTACAGAAGGATCAAATTAAAGTTAGGAATAATAAACATTTATTTCTTTCAGACTCTGAACATAGTGACCCCTAGAGTCCGTCCAGAGGACTGCAGTGTGGGCTTGCTACCAAGGAACCACGACAAGAACCGCAGTATGGACGTTCTATCAGCAGACCGATGCCTGCCTTTCCTCATATCTGTGGATGGAGAGAGCTCCAATTACATCAATGCTGCATTAATGGACGTGAGTGCATATTTTGAGGTGTGTGTGTGTCGTCTTTTTATGCCTCCACACCAGTGATAGCTGTGGCCGGAGGCTATTATGCTTTCAAGTTGTCCATAACATTCTTGAGAATATCTCAGAGGTATCTCAGGAGCGCCTTGAGGCTCTTTTCAAATTTGGCACAAATGTCCTCTTGGACTCTTGACTACATATGTTAAACACTCACTGGCCACTTTATTAGGTACACCTTGCTAGTACTGGGTTGGACTTCATTTTGCCTTCAGAACTGCCTTAATTCTTGGTGTCATAGATTCAACAAGGTGCTGGAAACATTCCTCAGAGATTTTGGTCCATATTGACATGATGACATCACACAGTTGCTGCAGATTTGTCGGCTGCACACCCATGCGAATCCTCCATTCCAATGGGGCCCAAAGTGTGCCAAGAAAAGCTCCTCCACACCATTACACCACCAGCAGCAGCCTGAACCGTTGATACAAGGCAGGATGGATCCATGACATCAAATTCTGACCCTACCATCTGAATGTGGCAGCAGAAATCCAGACTCATCAGACCAGGCAACGTTTTTTCCAATCCTCTATTGTCCAGTTCTGGTGAGAAAACCCGTGTGAATTGTAGCCTCAGTTTCCTGTTGTTAGCTGACAGGAGTGGCACCTGGTGTGGTCTTCTGCTGCTGTAGCCCATCTGCTTCAAGGTTGGACAAGGTGTTGTTGCTTCAGAGATGGTCTTCTGCAGACCTTGGTTGGAACCAGTGGTTATTTGACTTCCTGTTGCCTTTCTATCATCTTGAAGCAGTCTGGCCATTCTCCTCTGACCTCTGGCATCAACAAGGCATTTTGGCTCACTGGATATTTTCTCTGTCTGGGACCATCCTCTGTAAACCCTAGAGATGGCTGTGTGTGAAAATCCCAGTAAATACTCAGACCAACCCGTCTGGCACCAACAACCATGTCACATTTAAAGTCACTTAAATCACCTTTCTTTCCCATTCTGATGCTCGGTTTGAACTTCAGCAGGTCGTCTTCACCATGTCTAAATGCCTAAATACATTGAGTTGCTGCCACGTGATTGGCTGATTAGCTATTTGTGTTAAGGAGCAGTTGAACAGGCGTACCTAATAAAGTGGCTGGTGAGTGTATGAGTCTGGACAGACATGGACTGTTTGGCAGAAGCATACAAACCACAAGGCTTTAATTCTCCTTCATAACATTAGAGTTTCTGTTTGTTCCTGTCCAGTGCTGCAGTGATGCCTCAATCTGTTCGCATTGCTCTGCTCACTTGTCTGTTTATCTTGTGCTTGTTATTTATTTGCGGTCCGTCTCAACACTCCAGAGCCACAAACAGCCAGCGGCCTTCATTGTTACCCAGCATCCTTTGCCAAACACCATGGGCGACTTCTGGAGGCTGGTGTTCGACTACAACTGCTCCTCCATTGTAATGCTCAACGAGATGGACGCAGCTCAGGTACAAACACACACACGCACGAATATTCTCTGTCTGTTTTCCCTGCTTTTGTCTAACTTAGTTTCAGAGGAGGAGCAGACAGCCAGGAGCTGACACATCGACTGTAACATCACAGGGCCTGATCAATACACCCTGAGACTATTTTTATGAATGTGTATTGACAGTCCTTGGAACAATACCCTGACAGCTGAGACAGTTTGGTTTTTACAATCACAGCCCAGACAGAAAAAGTTGAATACAGAAAGAAGAGAAACTAATGGCTCATTAAGCTCCAGCTTTTTAGCAATTTCTGAATTTGTATTAACCTTCCCAAATGTAAAATGCCAAATTAATAATCAAGTATATTGCCATTAACAGAATTCAGCATAACAGGGTTGAAGGATCAGCAGAATGTAACGCTAAAGGTAGTTACAGTGACAGTGCCAGCAGCTGCTACACTCGATCAACATTTATTTGTCACCCAGGATTTCATCAACATCTTACAGTTAACAGCTCCGTCATCATTAGAAGTTTAGAGGTGCAATTTCTTACTTATCTTCTGCTCATATCAGACGTGCTAACTGCTCATGAGCCAATTCTGAACAGTCTTTTCAGGTGTCTAGGAAGGGACAATGCAACACAAAATTGTAGCAGCACATGTAATCATGTAATTAACCCAGACTAACAGATTTAGTTGCCTCATCACTCCCAGTATTGGTTGTAAATCCCCAGCTCACACAAGTGAATGAAACCTGGTTTAAAAAAAAAAACACACGTGTGATTATTTCTCTTGTGTCTGGCAGGTGTGGAAAATTAGGTGAAATTACCGAACTGTTTTCATGTGTTATTTTCCAGCAAGTCGGGCTTATCTCATTTTGATCCTGCATCGTATTGTACTCCACATGTAGATGACTCTCACCAGGCCTTAGTGTGGAAGTATAAAAAAATTGAAAATTGAATTCACATCCAGCCACAGAGGTGATAATGCTCCTAATCGATGAAGTGAATTCATACAAGGCTTTTTGTGAAAACATCTCTCCAATTATTACTTGCGCTGTTATGCTTTTGAAAAGAAATCCATTCAGTGGATATGAATCGAACTTGGATTTGATTTGGACTTGTTAAAATCTGGTAATGCTTTTTTTCTCCCCCTCTCTCTTCCTCACTCTGTCGCTGTCTTTTTCTGTTCTCTACAGTTATGTATGCAGTACTGGCCTGAAAAGAGTTCGTGTTGCTACGGTCCCATTCAAGTCGAATTCATATCAGCAGACATCGATGAGGACATCATCAACCGAATCTTCAGGATCTGCAACATGGCCAGGGTACGCACATTCTCAAAGTCTTCACAGTTTCATACCAGACTAGTTTTCTATGTTGTTAACAGCAGCAGGTTCAAGGTTTCAAAAGTGAAAATGAAAGCGCTCGTGCTTCTCTCTGGACCCAGTTTGGTGTCCGTGGCAAACTTCTCCTGCTGTGATTGCTGTCCTTGTCTTGAAGTCCTCAGCCTCTCTTCATTTTGCTTAGTCTTACAGCTCAGGCAGACGGTGTCATTTTGACATCACTGGGCAAAAGTTCCAAATATGAATCAAAATTCTGTCACTGCATTGCCTATTTCTTGTCTGAAATGTTTTCAGGAACATATTTTAGTGCACTGTTTAGCTGTAAAATGAGAACATTTGTGACCCGTAGAGCCAAAATAAAGCACCACCCACCGGCTGGAGCAAACTGTCTCACTTGACAGCTTAACAGTACACTAAAACAGAGGTTCTCAACTGGTGGGTCGCGATCCAAAAGTGGGTCATGGGTCCATTCTGAATGGATCGCAAGGAACTTTCAAACAAGGCAAACATTATTTTTAAGTACAGTGAACCTCGGGAACAGACCTTTTATGTTGAAGTGCCGTTTCCTGCTGTAGAGTGAGTGACTAAGGGAGCAATCACACCGAGATGAAACGCTAGAAACGCAACGCCAGTAAAACCATTGTTTTCCTATGTTACGGCGCGTCTGACTGGCGTTCAAGCGTCTTTTTAGACGGACGTTTTTCCGACGTCTTTTTAGATGCGTGTTTTTGTAGACGCTTCGTATTTAGATGCGCGTAGACGCTGAAAAGTTAAAATATTTTCAACTTTTTGAGCGTCAGATGCCAGTAGCTAGTGCACATTGAATAAGCGTTTCCAGCGTTTTAAGCGTCTTTGACGCGTCCATGTCTCTAGCGTCTCATTTTTGTTTGAACGCCCCCTAACAGCTACTTGACAGAGACAGCATACTAGCTCGATGACATGGCCAAACCCAAGTATGATGCTGAATAATTTAAACTGTGTGGACCTTGAACTAATGACTAAGGAGAAATCTGGACCCTGTGGCTGCACCAGTTGGGAACCACTGCTCTAAAATATGTTTCTGAAAACAGCTGAGGTGAGAAATAGGCAACGCAGTAACAGAATCTTGATTCGTATTTGATCAGCGCTGCCTAGTTTCACAGTTTGACTGCAGTCACAAGCAGTGATTGACATGAGTGACAGGTGTTCTGGAGTTGTTTTTGTGATCCTTGCAAATTCCACAAGGAGCACTTACACTTACCGTCTTCATCCACATGGAACGGGATCTGTTGCGGTTCCAGCGCCTAATTTGAACTGTTTCAATCATTTTGACCAAAAACAGTGGTGACCATCCCAAATCACAATAACAACAATAGAGACATTAAGTAAGAAATCATTGCGAAAAAGCTGGTCCCTGCTTGTCTTTGGATAAAAGCAATAACGGAACAAAAGTTTTAGTGATGGAAAGAACGAGTTCGCAAGTACAAGCGGCCAAAATGAGTTTCCTCCTCAGGGTGGCTGGGCTCAGCCTTAGAGATAGGGTGAGGAGCTCAGACATCCGGGAGGGACTTGGAGTAGAGCTGCTGCTCCTCCACATCGAGAGGAGCCAGTTGAGGTGGTTCGGGCATCTAGTAAGGATGCCTTCCGGACGCCTCCCTTGGGAGGTGTTTCGAACATGTCCAACTGGGAGGAGACCTCGGGGCCGCCCCAGGACATCGTCCGGCTGGCCTGGGAACGCCTCGGGGGTTCCCTTGGAAGAGCTGACGGAAGTGGCTGGGGAAAGGGCTGTCTGGGCTTCTTTGCTGAGGCTGCTGCCCCCATGACCCGGACCCAGATAAGTGGAGGACGACGAGTACGAGTACAAAAGTTTGCAGATAATTAACACAAGCCGCCATCTTGCTGCTACTGTTATCTTCCATCGTGCATTGTGAAATGCCCTCCATTGACGATATGTCCTCGATTACAACTGTTCAAAACGGTTCAACGGTTCGCTACATAGGACAAGAATTCAAGAATCGTGAACAGGACCAGTTCAAGAAGAGCTAAGTGGGTGGAAAAGGGTATTTGAGGAGGCAGAGTAGGATTTTGTCACGGATTATCTGCCTCATGTACTACTGTCAGGATTAGGGATGGGTACTCCTTATCGATTTGGTACCTCACAGTGTTTAAAGCACAGTTAAAAGAGCCGTTAACGTCGGGGCTTATCACCACTGTGTTCTCTGATAATTTAGCCACAAGCTTGTTTAATCCCAGGTTTCTATACCCCTCCCTGGTCAGGATGGAGTGACAGTTTTAAAACATAACCTTTTGCCATGTTTGCTAAAAATGTTACCTTCTGTAGCTTTAATCTGCCGTGCTATGGATAAAAATACTTAAAATATTGCGTTTCCTGACCTATATTTGACATATAGCAATAAATAGTGGGACGATACACCCAGGAACACAACATAACAACACTTATAAGGCATTTTTCATTTCATGTGACCTTTACTTCCCCCTGAGAAGCTGGCAACATGATGCCGTAGAGACTACACTACTACAGCAGCCGGGCTAACTGAGCCTGCTTTAAAATGGCACTGTGGTAGTAGGTGGTGTAATAACAACAGGATATTTTGAAAACTGTCCTCTCCCCTTGTCTCCTGGTTCCTCCTCTCGTCTTCTCCCGCCTCTGTTCTTTCCTCACCTCTCCTCTCCCATCATTTCCCCCCTCATCTCTCCTTTCCCCTTTTCTTTCTGCCCCTCTTGCCTCCTCTTGTTACTCCCTTCTCATCTCATTTTCTCACCCATCCATGACGGTACAACTCGCGGTGCCCTATCGTCTGCATGCTCCTATAGCGCATAGTGAACTCCCCACTACCCTACTCTCTATATTCTGGCTCTCTCTTTCTCTCTCCCTCTCAAACACATCACCAGTCTAGCGTGAAATGGCTCATATCATCGCCACAGCAGCATATCTCACACTGAGAGAGCAGCTCCGACCTAGCTGAGTCTGTACCACCAACCACTAAGCCATCAAATGAAGAGGGAGGAAGTGAAAGAGCAGGACGGAGAAAAGGTTTGAGACAGAGAAAAGAAGAGGAAAACAAAAAGAGTGATGAAGGGAAGGAGAAGTAGTGTGAGTGAGCACGAGAAAGAAAAGGAGAGAAGGAAACAGGAGTGAGGGCAAGAAGAAGTTTGAAATAAGAGGTGATTGGAAGGGGAGATGGAGGTAGTGGAGAGAAAGATAAAAAGGAGAGAGTAGATGGAGGGAGAAGGAGAAATGGGAAGGAAGTGGAGGAAACAGATACAGCTGTATCTGGTTTTGTGTGTAAATGTCAATGTGCTGCTGCGTGTGTCGAAGCCTAGCAGTAAATCAGTATGACAGTGATGGCAGGTTTTGGTATTTTAGGTGGTGGATGCCAACCGCCTCGGGCCAGACGAATGAAAAACATTTTGTCTGCCATGAAATTGAATTAAACATTATAGGATGTTGTCTTTGTGGAGTCCATTCTGAGTTCTGTTCAAAAGGCATTTTGTTCAGAAACAAGAACTAATTGGAGCACAGCAGCGAGCGAACACATGAAAACATGCTTCATTTATCAGTTTGGTTTATCATCACCAAATGAGACCACCTCTGAGACGACTGGCAGCTTCTGCCTACAACCACAATGTGTCTGATAGCTTGTTTGTCCAGCAACCTGCTGGTTGTGCCACAAAACAGGAAGGAAGCACTGTTTAGATGAAGCTTTCAGAGGTTTTGGTGATTGGGGAGGAAATTTCTTTCCATCCACTTTCCAACTGGTTTACCAAAAAGCAAATCGTCCGACTACTTTCAAGATGGTCACTTTAACACCCTCTCCACCAATATTAAGGCGCATATCCATGTTTTTAAATGCAGGAAAACAGCTACAACTATACCATAGACTTCTTTAGGATGACCAATAGTCATCATTTAGGGCCATTAGTCGACTAGTCGCCTGCATGTTTATGATATTAATTTAATTATGAAATTGTATATTTTGGTGGTTTGAGTTGAAGGTGTGAGAAAGAATAGTATCAGTAACATTGTTAACACTGTGCTACATTACAGAGAAATACAAAACTGTACTAATGAACCTTCATTAATATAGGCCTATATTTTATCTACAAGTGCACGTCACACACTGAGCGAGCCGCCTGTTAATGACGCTGTGGGCTAATGGGCATGTAGCTACTTCCATGTTTCAGATGATACGTCATGTTTGTAGTCGACCAATGAAGATGAGTTTACATATCACCTTGGGTTCGTCCTTCACCTTCTCAAAATGATCCCACACTTTGGATTTCCTGCCCGACATGTTATTAAATAGCCTGTGGAATAACCGCAGGTACCAGCCCTGGAAATTAACCTGACTCCTGTCTGACTGCTGAGCGTGGACACTTCCTGTGTCTGTCCTTTGTTTTTTTTTCTGCGACTAAACTACCAATGAAATCTTGCCGAGTAATAACCTTTCTGATCAACCAATGTTTGGTCGACCATTAGGGGGCAGACCTATTTCCATCACTGTCGATGGAGCTGGAGAGATAAATATTTGTGACTACTGCAGAGTCATTTGTCTTACATTTTCCTCTAAGGACAAAAACCATGTGTTAGTGGGTGTTAGTGGGGCATAAGATCGAGTGACCAGGTCAATTGACACGTTGAATGCTTTCTGATCATAGCTTGGTCGTCCAGGTTTGGGCAGGAGGGGATGGAGACATATTTCTGGATCACTAATGCCAACAATCATGGCATCTAAACCATCACAAAGTAGGACAGAATAGGAATAATGTCGATGCAGAATAGGAGGATGTCCACTATGACACACTCCAAGGGCTGAAATGAGACCCACAAACGCATTATTTTAAGTGTCACACACCGCAGCACTTGGAAGGTTTCACTTGTTTACCCACTTTTACATCCCTGGTGGAATTACTTCATGGTGTTGATTGTGGTGTTGACAGCTGTGGTGATAAAAAAAAAATCCTTATCTTCACACCTCTCTCTTCAGCCACAGGACGGTTACCGCCTGGTGCAGCACTTTCAGTTCATCGGCTGGCCGGCCTACAGGGACACGCCTCTCTCTAAACGCTCTATCCTCCAGTTGGTCCGGAGGTTGGCTAAGTGGCAGGAGCAGTACGAAGGAGGAGATGGGAGGACTGTGGTACATTGCCTGTAAGTGCAATGCTCGCACACAAACACACACATGTAGACGAACACACTCTGTAACATGTCATGAAATGGTAGGACGTGGGTGACGGGGGGACGGGAACAAGTGGTGCTCAGTAGGACGATTCATCAACGCGAAATCGTCAAAAGACAAATGTGCCCTTGTGTGTGTGTGTGTGTGTGTGTGTGTCAGTGTGTGTGTGAGAGAGAGACACACAGAAAGGTGAAAGATGTTGAGATACTCTTAACAATGATAAAGTACACTTCCTATAAAAGAACACACACTTTTAAGACAAATGTTCACACACACACACACACACACACACACACACACACACACAGAGCTTTAAGATGATATATACAATATATGGTATTTCTCGACTCATCCATTCTTCTGCGTTGGCTCGTGCTTTCACGCTTTATTTTTCACCGCTGATCTGTCAAACATACAGATGGCCTGAACTCAACATTTATCTCACTTCTGGTGTGTCTGAAGTGTGGGAGCCAAACACACACAACACTGGTCTGAAAAATTTAAAAGGACTATTCATAACTACCCATTGTTTAATAACAGTGTCAACCTGGCTCATATCGAGAGAGGGCTAAGATGTGCTTTATCTAAAGCTGCAATTCACAATTCTTTACATTATAACCAGCTTTATTTTAAGCTATAAATCATTGAGTTACCATAAACGTACATACAGGAAATAACCACAGCTTCAGCAATATTTAATTATTTTCAGAATGTATACGGATCAGGTTGAACACTTTTAATTTTTTACACACACTATACAGAAATACAATGTTTGCAAGTATATTCGTTTCAAGGAAGCACAGCAATAACATGCTGATAACAATGGGAACATCTACAACTGAATAACAACAGCACAGTACTGAGTACTATTAGTTCCACAGTAGATGCAATGGAAAAACATATTTTAAATAAAATAAAAATAGTTAGAATAGTTACCCTTTACATATTTGTGGGTTTGACACATATTTAGGCAATGAAATATATTAAAGAGATTGTGACTAAGGCCACGTTACCACAAAAACAATCTGCTGAAAACGGAATCATTTCTCATTTTCATTTCGAAAAAAGTTCCACATTCAGACGACACTGTTTTGATAACAATAACTGTGCACATGGATCCACAAAAATGACCAAAGACACTCTAGAATATATGCCAGGCCAGTAGTTGGCGGTGTGACTTTGTAATGAAACAACAAGCACCTGTGCACATGCGCTTTGTTCTACAGAGAGGTGATGTATAAACAAACAAAATGGCAACCGCACGAATGTTTGTCTGGACGGACGAGGTGGAGTTACTACAGTAAATCTACACTCAACAGGGTGTGCAGCACAAACAGAGCTCGGGAGTCCGCCATTGTTGTTGTGATGGTTGACTTGCTCACGCATGCCTAGTGACTGGAACGTAATGCACATGTGCGAAAAAACATGTGCAGAGGAACTGCATTATTGCAAGTTTACATGAAAACGGAGACGGTGCTGTTTCCAAAAAATTGCACTCTGGAACCTGTGTTCAAAATGTTGAGTTTTCATGCACCCAAAACACTGCTGTCGTGTAAACGATCAGCCAAAACGCAACTAAAGTTGACCGTTTTCGGTTGCGAGTGCTGTCGTATAAACAGGACCTGATTCTTGTAACTCTATTGGATCCTTGAACTGTCAGCAAAACCTCAGAGCTCCACTGTGCCTCCAATTAGTGAACAAAGTGCAGGTATCTTTGGCGCCACACACAGCAGCCACGAGGTGATTTCATTTCATTTCTAAAGAAGGAGCTGGTTGTTTAAAGGTACAGTGTATTCTTCACGCTGATGTTACTAACTGACACCAGCCTGCTGTGACCTCTGGCACTAAAGTTTGTACTGGCTGATGGTGCGTCACTGGAGCTTCCGCCTTTTCTTCCCCCTACCTCCCCAGTTTGTGATGAGGTGGACATGATAACCCTTAATACACATAACCTTATTCATCCCTACAACAAGAAATAGAGAGCGGTGACAGAGCTGCATGTGGCCACAGGTTACATACCCCTGATCTAGACTAGAACTGTGGTGATTCATGTAACTGGTTAAATTCTTTAGCAGAGAAAAGTTCATGGACATGTTTGTTGTTTGCCTCAACTTAATTATGAAACCCTTGAAACTGCATAACGTCAGAGTAGCGATCCTCCCGATTAGATTAGTACTCATCTGGAACAAGACCGCACAATATTTTTGTTATTCTCCTCCATCTTGAAAGCACTCGTGTCTGTACGCTGAAATAAATACAGCCCAGACAGATTGCTGTGTTAAGAGCGCTGCAGCTGGAACAGGTTCTCTCAGTGTGATTCACTGAAAATGAGACATGTGCTCAGCATTTAAGACCCATCAGACTCCAACCTCCAGGACAAGTGAAGAGCAGAAAAAGAATCAATTTTCACCAGCTACTGATTGAACCATCATGTTTCTCCTTATCTCTGGTATTACCCAGTCTGTGAAATCAATAGCTGGGGCTGATTAGCCAGTGTAGCTGTCTTTAGCCAGAAGCAGAGAAGCCTTGCATCCCTTTCCCTCACATTCACTGGGGCTGAGCGTAACGGTCAGAGGCAGCGGCCAGGCCGATTAACATCAAGAAATTTAGCCGTATGTGCCACTATTTTAATTTCACATCATTATTTTATTTGTAAAATACTAAATGCAAATATAAGAACTTTTAAAAGAGAATAAATTATAATTATTTATGTGATATGATGAATGATTATTCTTAATTATGTTCGACACTTAAAGCAATAATGCCAGCAGCGTCAATATGACATAGCAGCAGTTATTGATTTGAGCCAGGGGTCAATGATGTATGTCTGTCACTTTATATTCCTGTTAGACACCAGGGTTTAAACCACTGATTCTGCATAATCATTAATAGTTAAGATCCACCAGTGATTTCATTTCTTTCCATACTGTGGCATCAAATCTATAAAAAGCTGTAAAGATATAAACTACATCTTTAGAAATAACTTACAATTATCAGATGTTTTTTTTGCTCTGCATTAGAAACAGGTGAGTTTTAACCGGAACAGCTTGTGTTTCAAACTCCGTCTTTCACACAGAGATAGAAAACACTCTGAAAACAAACAAAACCTCCCAGCGTCTAGAAAATACAAATCAATGCCAATTCTGATTGGCCCAATGAACTGTGACAGAGGAAGCTGATTGGATGAGCACCAGTGATGCGCTTGAGGAAATGTTGGAGTCTGTGTGTTAGTGTGTGTGTGTGTGTGATATTGTTAGTGAAGTTCCCTGGAATCTCTCGTCTATAGATTTTACAGCCTCTTGTTTCTCTCCCTTATTATCGGCTTCATTTGTTAGGCTCAGATAGGAACTGTGTGGAGCTGTGTAGTGTGTGTGTACCTGTTGTGTGCAAACACACGTTCATATCATGGCTGTCGGGCAGAAACCTTGTATGTCCAAAACCACAACTTTTCAGGAAATGAAGAAAATAAACTGTGTTTTTTAAATAATTGACATCGTCAAAGACGGTACTGTGTCTTCTTGAATGGTCAGATATTTGCATGTGTCAGGATATTATTCATATTTTATCAAAATGAAGCTCAAATGTAGTTACAAGGTTTATGATCAGCAAACGTTCGTTGATTAGAATAGCCGCATCTGAGGCAGTAGGTGCATTGCATTACGTTATCGTCAAGTTTATTGGGTAACACTAGTGTTGCACGGTATACCGGTACTAAAATAGTACCACGGTACTAGAGTATTCCAAACGGTACTATACTGCATTTGGAAAATACCAGTACTTTGAAATTGATTCAATTCATTAATTTAGTTAATTTATTTTACTCATTTATGCACACAAACGACTTTCTTGTTCCTATTGGAGCACAGATTGCGCAAGTGGTGTGTATGACAACACCTGTATCAACATTCGCAGCTGGCGCACGTGAAAAAAGGCAAGAGAAAGTCTGAATCGCAAAGGGAGACAACACGAGACAACACAAACTTGGTGAAACATTTGAGCAACCTAACCGTGATGTCCGTACCGAGGTACTTACCAAACCATGACTTTTTTGGTACCGTTACACCCCTACTATTTATTGTTCTAAAGGTTTGTATCCAAAAGGACTTTTCCTTAGGAAAAGTACCGAAGAGTATCGAAAAGTATCAAAATTCATATTGGTATTGGTACCGAAACAAAGATTTTGGTATCGTGACAACACTTCACTTTACTTGAAGGTATCGACATAAGGGTGACATGACACTGTCATAACTATGACATGACACTGTCATGAACTGTCATCAACATTATGTACATGTTATAAACGTTTATGACTGCTGTCATTAAGTGTCATTCGGTTTTTGTCATGACAAGTTGATATTAAATTTGTTTGGGATGTCCTTATTATGTCAACTTGACATTAACCAGAATGACATTACCAGAAGATGTCTTTGTCATAACAATAATAATCATTATGTCAACTTGTTATAAACACAAAAAGAGGTGCATTTCTTGTTAATGTCAAGTTGTTATGACAAAGACATCTTCTGGTAATGTCATCCTGGTTAATGTCAAGTTGTCATAATCAAGACAACACAAACAATGTCAACTTGTCGTTACAAAAACCGAATGACACTTAATGACAGCAGTCATAAAAGTTTATAACATGTACATAATGTTCATGACAGGTTCATGACCGTGTCGTGTCATAGTTACAACAGTAGCTATGTTTCCATCAGCCTGTTTAGATGCGCATCTAGAAGTATCGCATTGGGAAAATTATGATGGAAACACCAAAATTTGAATTGATTCGCACAAACTAAAATACACTCGCTTTAGCCGGGTTTTGGTTGATTAGAAAAAATGTTGATTCGCAAAACAGGGGATAGAAACAATTATGTTCAAATTAAGTCTGACGTAGCGCACCTCTCTCCATGGTGATATCCAAACTCCAGGTCGGGAAGGCGGTAATGCATTTACAAGCTGGTTGCCAACCGCCAGAAAACGAATGCGAGACTTGTTTTGTTTCCGGTTCTGCGGAAAACTCGTGCGTTTGTAGTTTTCACCAAAGTCCGTACATTTAATGGAAACACACAGGATTTGTATTTCTTTCAATGCGCATTTCCCAATGATTTGAATCACTTTTGGATGGAAACATATGTATGTATGTAGATACCTTCAAGTAAAGTGTAACCATTTATTGCAGCTAAGTGTGCACTCAATTTTTCCTGTCGCTATCTAGCACATTGCGTGATCCCTCCGCCTCATTCCCCACCACTAGAAGACTATTGCTGTGTTCCATTTACCTCCAAAGCCAAAGGTGCTCCTAACAGCTTATTTCATAATGTAGCATTATGTGGGACAATATTAGGGTGCATGCCCTGGCATGTTGATGATGAGTTTACTGCGTCCTCTCGTCCCAAAGGCATCCTGGGAAGATCTCTGTCTTTTCTCTGGTTTTTAGCTTGTGCACAACTGATGTGACACAACAGAAAAGATTGCTCACTGCCATCTGTGAATGCCATGTATTTGCCGATAGGCTGATGGAAGTCAACAAGGCAAATATCCGCAGATACTGATGTTAGGCCACTAGATCAATGCATCCATAGTCTTTCACTCTGCATATACCTCCGTGACCTGTGACACAGAATTAATTTGCGGATGTTAAGCTAGCTAACAGATGCAAGATGATGATTGTCGAAGTAAGAAATGACTTGCAGATTAATTTATTTTGTGGCTTCAGTTTCATGCTTGCAGCAGTTTCTTTTACAATGAGCTGGTACTTGTTTTGATTGAAATGGCTCCCTGGTTGACACTCAGGTGCTGAGGTTAATAAGCTACCAAACATTTCTATAGCAACTGTGAAAGTTATTCAGCTGCCTTGACGTTCACAACCACTCAGGTCTTGATCTGTCCTGATTTTGCTGGATGAACTTCAGGAGTCAAGTTCATAATATTAATGTATTTTAGCCAGAAGATGTTTTTAACAGCGCTGATGTAAAATGTATTTGCTCTCAGTTTTTTCCCCCCTTACCTAGAAATTATCTTTTGACACTCAAGTCAGAAAAGGAGTGCAAAAGGAATACCTTTGCATTTCAAATTTCAGTCTTAAATATTAACATCTAAATACAGTGTAATGAAGAGCTGAGGTGCTGTGTCCCATTCCCAAATAGATTTACACATGAAAAACAAACTGAAACGTAAAAATGACTAGTTGATGAGGGAGATGTGTCGGTGTGTTTTAAAGGGTTCTGAGCAAAGAAAGATTTCCAAAACGTTAGTCTAGTGGTAAATTTTTTGAATAACAAATATTTCCCCTCTTATGAAAGCATTACATATCAGGCCTTTACAAAGAACAATAAAGTTAATACAGTCTGTAAAACTGACTTCAAATCTGACACCATCAAAGCTTCCCTGATGGGAGAGGAAAGTACTGCGGTCCTGGCATTGCTAATGCAGAGTAGGTAGACAGTGGGTGATTTTTGTGATGGCTGCCACTCCACCTCTCAGTAAAAATGTTTTATTCAGTCCGAATACTAAAGGAATTCAGCTGGAACCAGGTGAGACGGAAACGTCTGGAGCTCTTTTCATGGTGGGTGGTCTGACTGCTGATTGGCAGAGCCCTGACTGCTGATTGGGCTACACAGCCAGTAAACCCAGAATATACAGTAAATATATACACACACAAATATTACAATCACTGCATCTTTGTCCATTACAGCAGGTTATCCTCTGAATAAAGTCTAAAAAAGTCAGTTAAAGGATAACTTCTGTATTTTTCAACCTGGGCCCTATTTCCCCATGTTTATGTGTGCGTATGATTCATAGGTACAACTCGTTCTAAAATTGGTTCAGTATTTCGGGAGGCAGATGCAGCCGGCAGACGTGAAACGAGCTAAAAAGATAACGGGGGCAAATGCATCCTGTATAAGTTTGTGCATTAAAAGTGCTTTTTTTCGCCACTGACCGGCTCAGATCACCAGTGCTATCTCTGTAAATAGCATACTAAGGGTTCTTCTTCGGCTAGCAGTAGTCATCTTGGGAGGAGTGAGCACTGCAGACCCGATGGTCTGCAAGGCGCAGTGTCTGGACAGGAGTGTTAGCATCCATTTGTAGCACAACTAGCCACAACTTCAGCATCTCGCCGTCTGACAAAGGCAGCCTATGAAAGCTGTACGGGGTGTTGAGCAACATCCTGTTCTTGCAATTGGGATAAGCACAAACACGAACCATTGTTTTCAATCGATGCAGTGAAACTCTCAACTGTACTCCGGGACAACCAGCGGCGCTCAGCACGGCTCCTCTGTTTTCTTCCGGCAACAAGCAAAGCTCTCGTGAGATGACGTCACAGCCCAGAGGAAGTGAAGGGTAAGGGAAACACTTAGTATGCTATTTACAGAGATAGCACTGGCGATCTGAACCGGTCAGTGGCAAAAAAAAGAAGCACTTTTAATGCGCAAACTTATACGGGACGCATTTGCCCCCCAAGTTACCGTTTTAGCTCGTTTTGCGGCTGCCAGCTGCATCCGCCTCCCTCAATACTGAACCAATTTTAGAACAAGTTGTACCCATGAATCATACGCACACATACACATGGGGAAATAGGGCCCAGGTTGAAAAATACTTAAGTTATCCTTTAAAGCTGAAGAATTATATTTAAATGTCTTGAGTCCATTAGTGGACCTGTCATTCATGCCTTTTCTCAGAACCTGTATGCATTTCCTTCACTACTTCAAAATAGACTGAAATGCAGTCAACCAATCAGAAAATTGACATTTTACTCAAACAGACGTAAAGCTAACTTACTCCAACCTGCAGTTCCACAAGAAACATGCAGAAAATCTGACAAACCATTCCTCCCACACACAAACTTGAACATGGCCTACGCTTTAAAAGCAGTCACAACAAACACGTCTTGCCTCTCATAACCTGTTCATTAAGTTTTATTGAAACCCGCTAAAGGTTTTCTCACATAAGGGTTCATAGGTTTCAAGACCATGTTTAAAGGTTTACACAATTAACCTCAACACAGCAGAAGAAAAGAGAAATGCCTGAAAGAAAACATAATTTCCATGATAACACATTTTAAAAACAGGGCTCCCAGGGTGATAAAAGACCAAAAGCAGGTCCTGCTGTTCTGCAAAGGACGGGAATGAACATCTCTGACTTCAAAGCAGCTGGTCTGAATAGACTAAAGGTGTTTTTTCTTTTCCAATCTCTTTTTTCTTAATTCTCTTATCTGCCCCCTCTTCAACTCTAATGATGTCCAGCTATTATTTATTTATTTATGATGATGGCATGATGAACATGATGATAATGTTGTTTAATAATGAAGGTCTTTTGTCCTTTTTTTTCTCCGCTCTTCCCTCCTCCTCCTCCTCCTCTGCAGTACCGGCGGAGGGCGTTCTGGAACGTTCTGTGCCATCTGCAGCATTAACGAGATGATCCAGCAGCAGAACATCGTGGATGTTTTCCACACCGTCAAAACACTGAGGAACAACAAGACTAATATGGTGGAAACTATGGTGAGGACACACAACACCCACAAACACACACACACTTCATCTGCAGATGAAGATCAAACTAGTGATTGCTGGTGATTGTGAAAATGAAGAGAAGCTCTTGAGATGGTCTTATGATTTCATTTCAAATACGTATAAGTATTAAGTTTCTTCAGACATGTATGGAATAGTATGTGGTTAGTATGTGGTTAAAAAAAAGTCATAGTATAGTATGTGCTAAAAACATCTTAGTATGGTAAGTAATAAAAAATGACAAAGTCAAAGTACACTGTATCATAAATGAATCATACTATGGTATGTTATTAAAAAACGTCATAGTACATTATGGGATGAAAAGCAAAGACATAGTGAAGTATGTCATAAAAAGTCAAAGTATACTATGTCGTCATAAATGATGAAAAAAAAGTCAGAATGATATGCCGTCAAAAATGATGATAAAAAAAATCGTAGTATAGCATGTCATCAAGAATGATGAAAAATCGTCATAGTATAGTATGTCATCAAAAATGATGAAAAAATGTCATAGTATGTCGTCCAAAATGATGAAAAAACGTCATATTAAAGTATGTTGTCAAAAATGATGAAAAAACTTCATAGTATGTCGTCCAAAATCAGGAAAAATGTCATACTATATAGTATATCGTCCAAAATGATGAAAAGTCAGATTAGTATGTCGTCCAAAATAATTGAAAAACGTCATAGTATAGTATGTCGTCCAAAATAATTGAAAAACGTTATAGTTTAGTATGTTGTCAAAAATGATGAAAAAAGTCATAGTATATAGTATGTCGTCAAAAATGATAAAAAAGCCATGGTTTAGTATGTCGTCAAAAAATTATGAAAAAACGTCATAGTATAGTATGTTGTCCAAAATCACAAAAAAAACCCATCATGTATAGTACATCTTCAGAAATCATGGAAAACGTCATAGTATAGTATATCATCAAAAATGATGAAAAAAGTCATAGTATAGTATGTCGTCCAAAATGATGAAAAAACATCATTATATAACATGTTGCAAAAAGTCATACCTTTATTATTATAGAGAGTCATGGTATGTTGTAAAAAGTCATGCTACTATTGTCATAAAGTCTCATAGTATAGTGTTAGAAGCAAGAACGGGAGACAAACAAGCTGGTTGACAATAATGATCATTTATTTACAAGGAACACAAGTTAAAATCAAACAACACAGTTTTGTATAGTTAGTATTTAGTAACAAAGTGTGGAAAACAACGAAGGAATCCCAGAGCTTTCCTCATGCCCAAAGACAGAGTGTGACTTATGACAATAGGAGTAACTATACTGGAGCACACACCGGGCCCAGGTGGGACTCAGCAATCGACCCTCCTCTCAGCTCCTGCAAAACAGCAAACGAGAACATGCATGGGAGCCATCTAGAGTGTTGGACAAGGGTCGCTATAGTATGTCATCGTTTTTGACACCATACTATATATACTATGACGTTTGTCATCATTTTGGACAACATACTATACTATGACGTTTGTCATCATTTTGGACGACATACTATGACTTTTTTCATAATTTTTGACGACATACTATACTATACTATGACGTTATTTCATCATTTTTGACGACATACTATGACAGTTTTTTTTCATCATTTTGGACGACATACTATACTATGACGTTTTTTCATCATTTTTGACGACATACTATACTATGACTTTTTTCATCATTTTGGGCGACATACTATACTATGACGTTATTTCATCATTTTTGACGACATACTATGACAGTTTTTTTTCATCATTTTGGACAACATACTATACTATGACTTTTTCATCATTTTGGACGATATACTATACTATGACTTTTTTCATCATTTTGGACGACATACTATACTATGACTTTTTTCATCATTTTTGACGACATACTATACTATGACTTTTTTCATCATTTTGGACGACATACTATACTATGACGTTTTTGTCATGATTTTTGAAGAAATACTATACTTTTTTAATCCTTTTGACGACATACTATGCTGTGACTTTTTTCATGATTTTTGACGACATAGTATACTCTGTCTTAAAAAAGTCATAGTAAAATATGCCGTAAAAAACATTAGTATAGTACGTCCCCAATATGTCCTAAAAACATCACAGTACAGTATGACATCAAAAATTTCTTAAAAAAATCTCAGTATATTATGTTGTAAAAAGTGAAAGTCCTCATTGCTTGGCATTGTGTAACAATTACCAATTACCTTCTCTTATTCTTGTTTTCCAGGAACAATATAAGTTCTGCTATGAAGTGGCTTTGGAGGCGCTCAGCTCCTTCTGATTGGCTGTGGGTTGAAATCATCTTTTCTGATTCACCGTTGACGCTGCCTGTCATTCTCAACGCAACACTGGGACACACAGAGTGCAAAACTGCTTTGTGGTGACCCAAACCCAACCTGTGAGCATGTGTGCCTGTGAATGTGTGTGTGTGTTTGAGAGTGTGTGCACGTGATTCTGTGTGAATAAGAGAGGGCATGCTTGCATATTTGAGTGTGCCTGTGACAACACACACACAACCTGTACAAAAGAGAAAAAAAGCGACACACACACCGGTGATTTTCGTGTGTTCGCTTCAGCGAGACTGTGAACTTTACATGCTTGTACAAAGAAAAAAGAAAAAATGATATGTTGAAAAAACAAAATCAGATGTTTAAAAAAAAAAGCGCCACTTTTTCCTTCTCTATCTCTCTGTCCTCTCTGCTGGGCTGTGATGTGACTATTGTACAGTATTTCCTTTTTAGATATATTCTACGCCTTGAATGTTGTCTCCCTGTGAAGACTGGATGCACACTGGAAGATTGTTCACATTTAGCAGAGGTTCAAGTGATGACTCAACTCTGTATTTTGGACTCCAATGTTTATCCCTGAGTATTTCTGAAAGGTTATGAAACTTGTTTCGCTGAGAGGTGGACGTTATCGTCAATAATTCAGTCAGCTGGATCCCAATAAAAAACAAAAGACAAATGTTAATTCTAGCATTTTCCTTTGAAATCACAAGCTGGTACATTTCCTTGTGGCTGGGGCCTCATGGGGGCCTCATGACTGCCTCAAACTGAATCTTATGTCTAATTCGGTAATTGGTTACAAAAATTCTCAGTACAGTTTCCTTACCTTCATAATGCATCATGGAAGTCATTTACAACTTTCCTTTGGCAGTTTTGCTTTAACTGGGGAAATAATGCTTACAAACATTGTTAAAGAAGGAAGAAGTAGCGAGTTACAAACTACAGGAAGAGGAGTCAAGTGCATAGTGAAGAGTAATAACAACATTAAACAGACAGAAGAAAAGAAAACTCATGCCTTGCCTTTATGACCAAACGTTGATGTTGTTGTTCTCCTCGCTGCTCCAGGTTTTTTCATTTGGGGCTGTGAGAAAAAAATAAAATAATGTTTCATAAACGTTTTTGAATGGCTTTATGTAAAGTCATTGTTGTCAAAATCTTTTAGTGTGCATCCACTCTTACTGTAAATAAGATAAGACAACCACAGTCAAACAAACAAACAGACAAACAAACATCATGCACCAGACACATTACAAATAAAGGTTATCATTTCAAAATGCTATCGCTCTGTAAAGCTGTGTCAGTGTCATTTTCAGCGACTTGGTATTATAGTTTGGAATAAAGTCTTATGTTGCTTATTACAAACTGTCCTTTTAGACATGTTGTCTAAAAAAAAAAAAGATATATATTTTTGCATATTGCACATTTAGCTGACGCCCATACCCAGAGTGGCTTACAATGAGGAAGCAGATTGCTTGAAGTTTTTTTTCCCCCAGAGGAGAGTTTTAGATTAAACATGCCTGTTTGTGACGCTTTGGAGAACACAACACTTTTTCACAACAACCAGGTCATTCTGCATCTCATATACATTCTCACTGAACAGAAAAAAAATCCATGCAGTCATTCCAAATGGAAAATCTAAACAAAGTGTAACTTATTTTTCTTTTTTTGTCCACTGATTTATGCAGTTTTGAAGATTTTTTTTAACGTTAAACTGCAGGCAGGCAAAACAAGGCAATCAATATGTTTTAAGTACAGTGAAGCTTGTAGCTTTGTGAAGTTAAAGCTGCATTATAATTATTTGGACTTTACCTGGCCTGTGAAAATTGTGATTTTTTCCTTTCCCTTTGCTCATGCCACACACATTCTTTTTTGTACCGTGTCCCAAGGCCGAATTTTTTTTATGAATCACTGAAGAAGCTTGAGCAGCATTAACATGTGAGAACGCCATGTGCAGGGAAACGCATCTCTAGAGACATTTTTTTCCAAATATATATTGTTATCAGACAAGTATCTAAAACAAGGTCAAAAACATGAGATGCAAATTCTTGACCCATGGTGATTAAAAAGATAGACTTCCCTTGATAAAGATCATATCATCAGCCACAATATGTTTCATGTGATACATTCTCAACACAGTTTAGGGAAAAGGAGGCTTAGGGGTTATACCGTTTTCCCGGCCTGCCATCTATCATTAAAGTGACAACAGCAAACACACAGACAGGTCACATTTACTTCCTCTACAAACAAAGCCTCAAATTTGCTTTTCTCTAAGCCGCTGAGGTGTGCAGGTTTAAAAATTCATTTGACAAACTCACTCCTCAGTCCAATAGGAAATGATTTCAGCTGATGATTGACCCCAGCATGAAAGAAGGTCACCATGGCTGCCAGTTCAGACATGTGAGGAGTTAATGAGAATTTTACAGGGCGTGAGGCTGACCACAGCTTTCCCTTATCTCATCTAATTAGACTTTTTTCTTTTGACATTTCTCTGTTGTGCATTTAAAAGATGCAACCAAAACTAAACAACTAGCTAATTTTAAAGACACACTTCCTGTTTTAATTTAGCACCCTCTGAACTGTGGAGTCAGAAGAACTGTGATAATATTTAGGGGTCAGTTGGCACTTTTGGGGACTAAAGCATGGCCACAGTATAGTCTCATGTAGATGTCCAATAAAAGGACAAGACACCAGATCAAGGGCTTCATTTTCAAACACTATGAATCTGTTCAAGAAAAATCATTGATACCAATTGTGAAAGCAATTTTGTAAGTCACCATCTTAAAAACCCAGTTGTAACCCATAATGTGATTAATGTTATCCATAGATTCATACCAGCATGTGTCAGTATTTTAAGACAATGGATAACCCAGTTTGGAATGACTATCACAACGCTGAAGGTCTCTGGTGAATATTTGTTAAGGTAGTACAGTTTGCTTGTAGGTTTCAATTTTCTTGGCCAGAACCGGCATACTTGTGGCAAGATGTTGTGGCAAACTGTTCAGTCTGCGCTTATGTTTTATTTTGTTGCTAGAGTCCAGTCAGGCTCGTTAATGGACCTATCAAGACAAAGACTGTAAGAGTGTTGTATTGAAGACCATGTGAAAGCCAGACATTTTAAGCATTTTGTTTTTTCTCACTAAGGCTTTATTTTACTGGTTTGGTTCATGGCCGTTCATTTGTATTATATATTTTGTTTGTTTTATTTTTGCTTTTTTTGTCCTGAATTTGTACATTTCTTTTGTATAATTATTATTCTGATGATTATTTGTCTAGCAAAGTGTTGTTTAGATCTGGTGATGCCATTACCATTGGTTGTTTAGTTGTTTGAAATGTGGTTAACATGAAATAAAGGGACCAAAATGTTGAATGTGATCTCATCTCTCTCTTTACAGACTCTTATTTTGATGTAACTACCATTTATGCATTTTATTTGAGGGATCTTTATCTGAGGAACTTACACAGAACAGCATGACATAAAAATGTTATAGTATAGTATGTGGTGAGACAAGTATGCAATATGATAGTATAGTATGTCATAAAAAAAGTCAGTATAGTATGTCGTGAGAAAGTCATAGTATAGTATGTCATAAAAATTCATACTTTAATTATCATCACAAGTCACAATATGCTATGTCGTAAAAAGTCATACTATAGTATGTCATATAAATTCATAGTATAGTATGTCATAAAAATTCATACTTTAATTACCACAAAAGTCATACTATACTATGTTGTAAAAAGTCATAGAATAGTATGTCATAAAAATTCATACTTTAATTATAAAAAGGAATAGTGTAGTATGACGTCAAAAAAGTCCTGTGCACACCAAAACAGTCTTAAACAGGTGCGTAGGTGGGGCAAAATGCTGAATTAAAAAAATTAAAAGAAGTGTAAATGGTGTGCGCGTAGTATGTCATGAAAAGTCATAGTATAGCATGTTGTAAAAAGTCATAATAGAGTATGTCATAAAAAGCTATAGTATAGTTTAACATGAAATGTCATAGTAAAGCATGTTGTAAAAAAGTCATAGTGTAATATGTCGTAAAAAGTCATAGTACAGTATGTTGTAAAAAGTCATAGTATAGTTTAACATGAAATGTCATAGTATAGCATGTTGTAAAAAAGTCAGAGTATAATATGTCGTAAAAAGTCCATAGTATAGTTTAACATGGAATGTCATAGTATAGCATGTTGTAAAAAAGTCATAGTATAATATGTCGTAAAAAGTCAGAATATGATATGTCACAAAAAATCATAGTATATGTCGGAAAAAAGTCATAGTATAGTATGTCGGGAAAAGTCATAGTACAGTATGTCATTAAAAGTCATAGTATAGCATGTTGGAAAAAAGTCAGAATATAATATGTCATAAAAAGTCATAGGATAGTATCTCATAAAAAGTCATAGTGTGGCATGTCGCAAAAAGTCATGATATAGTTTGTCATAAAAAGTCATAGGATAGTATGTTATATAAAGTCATACTTTAATTACCATGAAAAGTCATAGTACAGTATGTCATAAAAAAGTCATTATATAGTATGTCGTAAAAAGTCATACTTTAATTACCATAAAGTCATAGTATAGTATGTCATAAAAAAAGTCATAGTATAGTATGTCGTAAAAAAACGTCATAGTACAGTATGGCGTAAAATCAATCAATCTTGATTGATTTTACGACATACTAAACTATGACTTTTTTTTACATCATAGTATAGTATGTCGTAAAAAAAGTCATAGTATAGCATGTCGTAAAAAGTCATACTTTAATTATCATAAAAAGTCATAGAATAGTTTGTCATTAAAGTCAAAGTATAGTATGCCATAGAAGTCATAGTAAAGCATGTCGTAAAAAGTCATAGTATAGTATGACGATAAAAAGTCATAGTATAGTATGTCATGAAAGTCAAGTATGTCATAGAAGTCAAAGTATAGTTTGTCATAAAAAGTCGGTATAGTATGACGAAAAAAGTCATAGAATAGTATGTCATAAAAAGTCAGTATAGTTTAACATGAAAAGTCAAGTCATAATATATAGTATGACGAAAAAAGTCATGGTATAGTATGTCATGAAAGTCAAAGTATAGGATGTCATAAAAAGTCATAGTATAGTATGACGAAAAAAGTTATAGTATAGTATGACGAAAAAAGTTATAGAATAGCATGTCATAAAAAGTCATAGTATAGTTTAACATGAAAAGTCATAGTATAGCATGTCGTAAAAAGTCATAATATAGTATGTCATAAAAAGTCATAGTATATGTTGAAAAAAGTAATTTGAATACATTTTCCGGAACTTTGAGGTGCGGTGGCAACGCAAACCACACAGATTACAAGGAATTCTTTTACCCAGGTAAATAAATTCCTGGTAATAAAAGTTCCTGGAAATGTTGGGGGGAAAGGGGTGCTGTAAAAAAAATACCATAGCTTACTATGTCATAAACCTGCAAAGTACAGAATGCCAAAAAAAACAGTATAGGCAAAACTGTTGTAGTGAAGTATGTTGTAAAACATGACATAGTATGCTACAACAAATGTCATACTATAGAAGCTTTAAAAGCAGACATCACGGTATGCCTTACAACACGTCATCGTATAAGTTACAGTAAAAGTTGATAGCACAACATTAAATATCAAAGTAAAGTATGTCATAGTATGTAATAAAAATTTCATAGCATAGTTCGTTGTAAAGAATAACATTGTTTTACAAAAAATGACATATGTTGTATGCCATGGTAAATGTCATGGTATAGTATGCCACAATAAATGCCAGTATAGTATGTCAAAAAAAATACAGTTTATTTTAAAATATGAGATTCTGTTGTATGCTATTAAAATATCACAGCATACTTTGTCACACAAAATCATAATGTATAGTATGCCGTAAAAAATGGCATAGTATAGTGTTCCATAATAAGAAGTAAATTTCTCTTCTACTTGCCCCACACAAAAAAACAAAAAAAAACAAAAAAAAAACACTTATTCTGGACAAGTCTTGATGTAGGGCTCTGTTTAGTGAATTAGATGATCTACCAGTGAGACCTACAAAGTGTTAAAATATAAATAAAGAAATGGTCTGTCTTTATTTAAGGCAAGGGCCAATGTAGAGATGTGCCTGATGTTGATGACATTATTATTACTATAATATTATAAATAAGTTATGTTTAATTCTTAACTCCAACAGAAGCCAACTGGAGATAAAGTCATGTCAGTTTTACTCATGAAGCACCAAATCACCTTAAACCAATTGTGAGAAACACAACTTATACAAATCATGATTCTATATAGGCAGACAGTGGATCGTTTGATGAAACTACTCACCGACTCTATTCCATTTAACCGTTTCATCTCGACACCTCCACTCTTTGTTTGCTCTCCTACCAGTCACGAGCTCCCAATACAATCCCCAAACTGGAGAGGAGAAAAAAACACACATACAGGTCTTTATGGGCTGATGTTTTCTTCTTCTAATCAATCAGAGTCAGTGATGAACGCAGCTCCAAGCCAACGGCCTCATCCTTTATTTAGCTGGTTGATTCCCAAGGAGCTCATAAATATGCATGAGTCTGCGATTAGCATAGGCACCAAGGACAGGGCCTGTACCTTGGCATTATGACGATCAATCAGAAACACTAAGGGGCTCCTCAGAGGGAAGCTGTCTGTCAGCTTGGCTTTGGGCTGAGTTGATGCACGCACGCACACACATCAAAAAAAGGTACGCTCAAAGCATACATAACCCCCCCCCACACACACACACACACACACACACACACACAAAAGTCTGCAGAAAGCAAGCATCCACACTCACACACACAGCCAGACTAAAGCACACAAAGCGTGTACACACCTAAAGGCACAGACAAGGCATGCATATATAAAACACACACGTCTTTCACAGATACATTCAAACACACAGATGCAAAGCCACTGTCAATGTTTATCATTTATCTCATGCTTTTTCCCTGCTCTGTCTGTTTCCTCTTTTTATTCCCACTCCCTTTCAGAGCTGAGTTTGTAATGAGTTTGAAAATTGGCCCATTTCATTTGCTCTCACTAAAATGTCATTATCTGGGGGGAAGAAGGAGGAGGGCGTTCACGGTGGCACTGTAATATATTTTTCCCACTCTAACAGGGTTATTAATATATTTTCTCCCGCAGAACTTGTAACAAGGTTATTGCGTGTCCGCAGCAGATCCCATGCATCTCCATGTGCTGCATCACACTGATTCAGAACATCAGATACGGCCTCCTTCAGACATTTATTCTGCACCTGTGCTGCATTTCACTGCATCCACCGTCAGCTACAGCAAGGTCTCTTTCATTTAAACAGAAATGTAAGTACATGCCAAACCACAGTTTTAATTTTGGATGGATTCTAAGTTGACAAGCACTTTGATGTCCTTCCCAAACATATCTACTGGGCTTTTACAGTGAGATGACACAAAAATTAACCTTCTCTGAGCTTCCAGTGAAATTTTAAAATAGTAAACCATGATGGTTTGAAACCTCTTATTTCAAAGAGTAATAACAGACCTTGGATGCCATTCAGGGTGCCCTGTCAAAAGATTTTCAGACGGCTTTTTATTGTCTTTCATGTTAAAAATGCTTCCAAGGGGCACTCCTAATAAACCTGCTGTCAAAATGAAAGCATTATTGTGGAGTCCAATCTGTGGGCACCATTCCCTAAAAAGGCGGACTGGAGGGTGTGCTTTAATTACTTGGGTATCACACACACTGCTCAGCCTCCCTGGGAAAGTTTATTGCATGGTGCTGGAAAGGAGGTCCGACTGACTGTCAAACCTCCGATTCAGGGAGAGCAATGCCGATTTTGTTCTGGCCGTGGAACAGTGGACCAGATCTTCATCTTTGCAGAGCTGTTGGAAGTGTCATGAGAGTTAGCCTATCCAGTTTACATGTGTTTTGAGGGCATGGAGAGGGCTTATAACCACACCCCCCGTGGAGTTCTTTTGGGGGTACTGCGGGAATACAGGGTACAGGGATTGTTGCTTCCAGCCATCCAGTCCCTTTACAACCAAAGTGAAGACTGAATCCGCAGGTGCTGGCCTCTGCCAGGGTTGTTTCTTGTCACTGATTCTGTTTGTGATATTCATGGACTCTCAAGACGCAGGCAGAGAGGGGAGAGTCCTCTTTGGAGACCTCAGAATTGCTCCTCTGCTCTTTGCAGATGATGTGGTTTCCGCTGGTTTTATCACACTGTGACCTCCAGCATGCACTGGGGCAGTCTGACACTGTCGAGATGAGAGTCAGCACCTTCTTCAAGTCTGAGGCCATGGTTCTCTGCCTGAAAACAGTGGACTGTCCCCACTTAGTTGGGAGAGAGTTACAGCCCCAAGCGAAGGACTTCAAGTATAGTATAGTGTCTTGCTCAGAAGTGAGGGCAAAATGGAGCGTGAGATGGAAAGGTGGTTTGGCACTGCATCAGAAGTGATGCAGGCGTTGTACCAAACCACGTGAAGAACAGGGACGTGATCTGGAAGGCAAAGCTTTCGATTTATCAGTCAATCTACGTCCCAACCCTCACCTATGGTCATGAGCTTTGGGTCGTGATCGAAAAATGAAATCGCAAGCAGCTGAAATGAGCTTCCTTCGGAGGGTGACTGGGCTCAGCCTTAGAGATAGGGTGAGGAGTTCAGACATCTGGGGGAGCTCAGAGTAGAGGTGGGAATCACCAGAGGCCCCGAGATATGATATTATCACGATACATAAGGCTCCATACAATATTATTGCGATTGCGAAACATGTTGCAGTATGCTGAGTAGTGCAATAAAATATATTGTAATATATTACAATTTATTGCCTGTTTTCAGTAGCAAAATTTCCCAAAGGAAAACTTTGTCCACATCAACAGTTTTATCAAATAAAACAGAGTAGTTAGCCTGTTCATCTCATTTCAGTCATTCTTACTGCAGCAAAATGTATCTAGTAAACTGAAAAGGTAACTGATTATAATATTCTAGTAGGCTACCGTTTAATTTGTATTTTTAATATTAATTATTCATATAATAAAGAATTGATACTTGGTGTCTGTGTCACAACACGATACTGCCACACAAAAATATTGCAATACTATGCTGTATTTACAAGGAATGGCTTGATACCAATCCACATTTCTTAACAGAAGAGACACTGAGCATCTAAAACCACTGAAAAATGTCACTTTGTGTGTGGTTAACACAAGAGGCCATTATCTATATGTAATTAAAAAGCATAAAGTGAGTAGCTTTAATGAATTCTATAACAGAGTGTGCTTAATTGAAGACAGAATTTTCTCACAAAATAGAAACCATTTGTTTTGTAGCAGGGTCAGCTGTATAAATTTACACGTGCAGATTTATAAAACACAGAACAATGTGCAAACACAGCTTTACAAACTTGATGAAAACAATGTGCATGCCTATTTCTCTGTTTGTGCATACACAGTTTAGTCATGAATCTACACAGAGCGTACTGCATTTGGCCATTATTGTTATAACAAACACAATATTGGACTCTGATTTGACATTTTTGGAGAATCAGAACAGATGAATATCCACACATTAGACAAGAAAAAAAAATCTCTATCAATTTTGGATGTATCTGACTTTTCTGTGGCCTTTATAAATATGGATTACTTTTATGATATAGACATGAAATCCACAATAATACATTGTCATGTCTTCATTATTTAAACTGTCAAAGAGTTTTAGAGTTATGTGTAATTAAAAAGTGTTTTCTGAACAATACATAATTGTAGAAAATGAACAGCTGGTAAGAATGTGACGCACATCATGTGTTACAGCTGATAAATAAAACCAGTCATCTCAAAAAAAAAAAAACAACAACCCTGTGACCTCAACATGAACAGTCCGCTCATTTACCTCTGTGTCTGTGTAAATCCCGCCGTTGTTCCAACGTCTCTGCCAGCTGGGGGAAGCAAACGAGATGCTAAGTCATGCATGACTCAGGGTGCAATCCATCAGCTCCACTCTCATTCACTTCAGCTGGGTTTCTGCAAAGTTGGACACAAAATGAAGACATATGGGAAATCTCACCTGTGCTTCGTAACAGAATGGACGAGTTCTGAGATTGCCACAGAGCCTTTGTAGCGGCAGGAGCCTGAAAGGCTTTTGCTGTTTTCACCACGAGCTTTATATTGGTTTAGTTTTCACTGCATCTGCTACATGTTCCTGAAAGAAGCAGAGCGGCCTGGTGCAAAGATTGTCTCGTATCTGAAAAGTCGCAGTCACAGTGTTGCATTTTCATATCATAAAGTCCTGAGTAATGTAAGGATCTATGTGAATACTTTAGGAATGCCATTTCATTTTTTAATTGGTGTTAAAGGTGTTGAGGATGTTTTGCAAAAAGTTCTTTATAGTTTTTCTACCAAGCCGCTCAATCAGGTCATTTAATAATGTGTTTAAAAATTCTTGTCTTGTCTTGCCCTTGGCTACAGCCCAGTGGGTAATAAATAGCCTGAATAAAAGTTGAAATCTGCAGAAGCACAAATCATGGCCAATTAGGGCAGGTATGTTATTATTTAGGGATAATATTATTTCACCTCCTGACCTGCTGGTTAAATTTGAAGAATTCAAAGACATCAGACAGAGCCTGGAGCAATATACACCATCTCCCACTGGTGGAGTCAGCTGCAAAATTTTACATTGCTGCTGGTTTTTAATTTAGTTGTAGTCTGTATTTACTAACACTGAACATACGGTGAGTAATCACAGCCACAGTTCATTTAAGACACTGTCTTATGCTGGGAAATGTAAGACACATCTAGTAGCCTATATGTCTAGAAAGCAAGGATATAAGAATTATAAGGTGCAGGATATAAAAATTGCAACTGAACTGGACATTTTGAAGAAACCAATGCACATATTTATGTCTGCTATGAAAGCCTGCAAGGCTGCAGGAATATACTGGAGCTGAATAATATTAGGTCCACCAAAAGGTGGCAGAAAAGAAATAAATAAAACAAAGGGAGATTTTTGGTGGTTGTTAAAACTTTCAAATATGTTAGCATGTCCAAGCACACATTGACTTTTAATCATTAATTTAACTTTTAACATAAAACAATGGGTACAGAATTGGACAACAGGCCTACACATTTAAACAGTGCAGCTCTGCACTGTTGATAATTTTCGAGGTTGTGCAAGACACAGCATGTGTACAGCCTTGGTTAATTCACAGGCTAGTTAACGACATGTTGGGCAGGAAATCCAAAGTGTGGGATCATTTTGAGAAGGTGAAGGACGAACCCAAGGTGACATGTAAACTCATCTTCATTGGTCGACTACAAACATGACGTATCATCTGAAACATCAGGGCTTGACGCTAACCTTTTTCCCAAGGAGCCCATGTGCTCCTAAGTTGAAAAAGTAAGGAGCGCACAAAGAACTTTAGGGGCACAATGTAAATTGATCAAATAATGTGTTTTCTGTAATAAACGTGATGCAAATAGACATTTACAAGCAAAATTATTTAATGAATTTGTATACAAAATGTACAGAAAGGTAAAATCATCAAGTTTTGAAAAAGTATTGCAATTTAATTTTGTCTTTAATGTTATTATCTTATATATATTATCTTTGCAATATCATTATCTTATATAATGTTATTACTATCCTAAAACATTCTCCAGGTCCTCTGAAACTCTGCAGGACTTAAGCCTCTTTCACACAGAGCTTTTGCGGCGCCCACCGCGGCGCAGAGGACAGGATTTGGGGGAGTACAGGCTCGTTCAGGAGCTACAGCTCCATGGAGACCGCTTCCGGGTCTACTTCAGGCTCATCTCTGCTATTGGACGCGCGGCGCCGAGGTGAATGAATGAATGGGTTCATCGGCGGAGGTCTGCGCTTTGCGCGCTCCGTGTGAAAAGGGCTTTATTTCCACCCTGCCCAGCAGCGGTACCATGGCGAACGGTCCCTAAAGGCCTCTACAGATGATCAGCTGTAAAACTGCTTTGCGCTGGCTGTCCCATTGTTTGTCTATGGAGAGGGCAGCAACACCTGACAAAGCGGCACCGCTACCCTTGGCGTCACGCACCACTCTGATTTTCCGCCCGAGCGCTGTGCTCACAGTTGAAATTATTTGAACTACGGGGAGAACGGAGCAGGCTTCCCCGGAGATCCACCCGGTCCACCTCCTCCACACTTTGACTTAGGCTATTTCCACGCTGCCGACAGTGGGACTGATATTCATTGTAAAGACAGTGGCTTGGAAAACCGCCCATAAACGTGTCACACGGGGAAGAGGGAAAGTGGCTGGAGTTCCTCCAACATTTGCGGTTAGATTATCATATTTTTTTATTGACCAAAATATAGGCTGCTTCGGCTAATTTTTTCATGCACACATGTGCCCCTAAGTATTTTTTACAGTTCGCACACACCTATTTTTAGTCGCAAATGCGAGTGAAACGCTCGCACTGTCGAGCCCTGAACATGGAAGCAGTGTTGCCAACTTAATGACTTTGTCGCTATATTTAGCGACTAGCGACAAATCTAGCAACTTTTTCTGATGTTATTGGAGACTTCTGGCTTCTTGACTCTGTTGTGAGAGCACGTATCGTTCTTATTCTTCTCAACAAGCAGCGGATGCTGCTGTGGGCCCTTCCCTCACCCCAAAGCACTCACAGACGGCCCAGTCCTCCCTCCCAGCAGCAGTCAGAGCAGGAGATGTTAACCCCTCCACGTCCAGACTGCAAGTGAATCGCGCATGCGCGGAACCGCCGCTGGCTGATCCCGACCTGGTTTACAGTCAGGGTGGGATGTAAATGTAAAATTTTCTTTGTCTAATATAAATCACTGAAAGAAGGTTCATTTGTAGTTCTAAACATATTCAGGGTGTTTTTTTACTCAGTTTTTGTCTCTCTCACGACGTTATTCCTCTCTCCTACAGCAGCCATTACAATTACATGCATATGGACAATTATGCAAATTAGGTGATGATGTCATTTAGCGACTTCTAGCGACTTTTAGGACAGCCAATAGCTACTTTTCTTACTGAGGAGTTGGCAACAGCGCATGGAAGTAGCTACATGCCCATTAGCCCACAGCGTCATTAACAGGCGGCTCGCTCAGTGTGTGACGTGCACTTGTAGATAAAATATAGGCCTTTATTAATGAAGGTTCATTAGTACGGTTTTGTATTTCTCTGTAATGTAGCACAGTGTTAACAATGTTACTGATACTATTCTTTCTCACACCTTCAACTCAAACCATTGTGTTGCCCCGCCAAAAATATATCATTTAATAATCTAATTAATACAGCAAACATGCAGGCAACTAAAGGCCCTAAATGACAACTATTGGTTGACCAGGAAAATTCTTAGTAGGGAGTAGTCAAAGGGAAAAGTTGTCATATCTGAATCAGCTGTAAAAGATACAGGTTTAGAAGTATTTTCAAGGGCAACATTTCCACTAGGCGACATAGGCAGCCACCTAGAGCAACACTCAGAAGGGGAGCCTAGTATGAGAGTGAAAGGGAAGCTTCCTTAGCCAGGACTTTACTCAAATGACAGCTTCACAAACATATAACGTTAACACTTCATAGAGAGGTACAGGACAGTAAACATTTAGAGAGTACACACCACTTTTTCAGCTACTTTATGCACTGTATTTACCTGAAACATAACTTACTTTCTCAAATATTACTCAACAAAACCTCTTTATCACAAGACACTCTCACAAAAGTCACTAAAGTGCATTAAAGCGTGTTACTACTGCAGATAACAGCGCCAGACATACCACAGTATGCACACATGCTAGTTCATAGTTTACACAAAATGGCGGCAACACTCGGCCCGGCTTTGGTCAGTCTATGCTACAAAGCGGGGACCTCACTCACACACACTCTACTACACTCGACGAAATCTACCTCTAATCTACTCACAATGTCACACACACACTCTCTTAAAACTCTTGAAATGTTAATAAGTTATTATAGTCATTAACAACGAAAACATACCTGGGAGAGGGGGATGAGAATCACAACAGTGGGCCGGAAGTTGACTCGAATGAGGAAAAGACCGCCATTTCCCCCGGTAAGTGGGCGGAGACAAAAGCAATCGATCTCAGGATCTTAGATCAAGACCATCTTGTAGAGCACAGATAAAATACTTTAACATCTTAGAGTAATGAATTAAGAAAAAACTTGACAATGTAATATATAAACAACTTCTTTGCATTTAATTTTTTTTTTTTAATTTAATGATTTTAGTAAACCTTTGTGAACTTTTACTCGTTTTAAGCATAATCTAGATTTTACCATTACAAATCATGAACTTCCCAGGCTTTTTAATTAGCAGACTATGGGTAGCCTATTATTCTTTAAATCGTCACATGACATAGTTGCACCCAAGTTCTTGGCATTAAAAAATTCAAACGTAAAATCCAATGCTACCAGTCGATCTGCAGGAGGTTTTACCATCTCCAGTCAATGCAGTTCATCTTAATGTGTTCATCCAGCCCGGTCTCATTCCGAAGTCGTCAAATACTGCCGCCTTTTCAGTGATTTCAGCATCAGACACTGACACCAAAAGCCACCAGTATGATACCAGCAGTATGACACCAGCAGTATGATACGCCACTGGGTGGTTTCAGTTTGTAACACGGCAGGACAGAACTTTTTTGTGGTGTAGCCTACAGGCCTTTGCACACTGAGTCTGGGTTTTTTTTCCCGGATGCATTTATGTAATCCATTATCCAAAAAAATCGTTACGCACAGAAACCTTGCACAGTGATTCTGATGCGTTCTGGCTGTCATCACTCCCTCCCTGTCTTTAATTTGGCACCTGAGATGCATGGAGGGGCGTAGCTGTGCTCCTCATTCTGTGTGCGGTCTAAATCCTCCTCCTCTTCATCATCATCCAACTGAATATTACTATCCGACCTGTTGAAAGTGGCTGTCTGAGTTATCAAATTATTCTGTGCACCTCGTTCCTCTGCCTTGTTGCGGCTGTGTCCCGCTGCCACACTTTCTTCACTCACTCTTCGTCAAACGTCTCTAAAGATTCTGACATATGCAAAAAAATACAAAAAATGTTAATGACATATGAAGGTTTCAGATGCAAACATGACTGACACAACATGAGGTTGTATTTATTTTTAGATGTGCGACAATTTCAGAACAAAAAAACTGACTCAGTGTGCAAAGGCCTTAATGATGTGCCGCCTGTCGGTCAGATGGCACCAGTTGCAGCGGATATGCCTCTGAATGGCATCAGTTTAAAACACTGCTGGTGACAACGTCATATAAGGACCTGGAATGGCGATGGATGGGTCCAACAAACCCAAGACTTTCACCCAGAAGCCCGGTGTTCCCGGTGGTGGCGCTTGTCTAAGGCACAAAATGTGCTCGGTCCAGCTGTGAGTATTTTGCTACAGATTAACATGCCATGACACAACATTTATAGTGGCACAAATTCCCTGTCATTTTGCCAGCACACAAACTAAATATGGCTGAATGGAGATACAAAACCTTTTTTTAGTGCACATTTAGTTTGTAATATCACACAATTTCTTTAGGGTGCAGGTAAACAAGTACAGCTATACAAAGTTAATGTAAGGCTCTGACAAACTGCTTCGTCAAGTGAACCCAATTAATTAGCTTTTCGCAGATATTTTGACGACCTATTTTGATTGGGGAACTTGGCAGCCTAACATGTGACAATATGATGGTAACAAAATGAAATAATACACAGCAGAAAGTAAAACAGGCCAGTAAAGAAGCTACAAAAGAAACTATTTCACAGTTAATGCGGCGTGCAGCTGCTGGGTGCTACACCTATGCACCACTCTGAACTCTACTGAAGGACAAGGTGCCTAATTGGACGTAATGAAGTTAAAGTGGAGAGCACAGTCTCTTTGAGTCTTTCTGCTGACTAGCCTTTAAAAATCAGCCAAAGACCATTAAAAAGAGAGGGGAGGTGAGGACAGCAGGAGGGGAGGGTACCGGGGGGGGGGAGCAGATGGGGGACAAGGACTGGAAAAGACAGACTGGGAGCTGACTGCAGGAGGAGAGAGATGAAAATAGCAAAATATTTCATCAATGAAGAGAAAAGGCAGATTCCAGTCACTCGGAAAATTGGTTCAGTGTGGTGAAGGCAGGGTTCCTACAGCTTAAGGCAGGTGGGATTTAAAGCTTTTTAAGGCGGTTTTAATGCCGTACTGAATGAAAATTAATACCAGTTTAACAATAACCAAATCTGAAGAAAGAAAAAACACATGAATCAACTTTAATTACTCAGAGTTAGGGAGAATATTGCTCAAATATTTATTGTAACACAAAACATGAATTTTTGGTGACGTTAATGTGAAAGAGATTCTGTTTTTTGTTTTGTTTTGTTTTTTAAGTTACCAATTATTTGGAGAATTTGGAAAGCAAAGTCAAAAAACAATTAATAAAATCCTATTACCTGGGTCTCACAGTTGCCTAGCATTTTTAAGATTTTGGAGAGATTGATTTAAGACATTATAATACAGATTACAGCCTTGTTTTTACATTAGATAATTCAATGCCTCTTTAGACTTCTTAACCCTCTAAGTTACTGTGTTGCCTCAAGGTAACATACCCATTTTTGGCCATTTACACTCACACAATACATCCTCAGTTATGTTGCGATACTTTTAAAAGTATGGGCCCTAAGTCACTACCCTAAGAAAACCAACAGCACTGTGTACACTGTCACATGACTCTCTGGAGGACATGTTGAGTCCCTTTATCGGGGCCTTCCTCATAAGGTTCAGCTCCATCAACTCTCTCCACAAAAATGGTCTGAGAATGAAAAATAGATGAGCAATAATGGATGAGTGAAGTTTAATTTTGAATGGTTAAAGCTACTTTATTTGATAATTAAGTATATGAAAATTGTTGAAATCTAAATGTTGCCTTGAGGTAACAGCGTACATTTATGGAATCCGACGACAACAGTTTTTGGTATCATGTATTTAGGTTTATATATGATCTGAATGCATAACAGTTATCATCATTTTCTTTTTATCTCTACAAATGAAGCTAGATATATACTGATCATCCTGTTACAATGAAATGTTCTGCTGGGAAACCTTTGGTTCTGGCATTCATGTGGATACCACCTGATGTGCTCCACCTGCCTAAACACAGTTGCAGACTAAGTACCCCCCCCCTCATGGCAACAGTACAGTACTCCCTGATGGCAGTGCCCCCCCCAGCAGAACAATGCACTATGCTACATTGCAAAAACTGTTCAGAAATGGCCCAAGGAACATGACAAAGAGCTCAGGTATTGATCTGGACTCAAAATTCCCCAGATCCCAATCTGATCGAGCATTTGTGGGATGTGCTGGTACACCAAAGGTACCCCTAATCCACGGTGAGGCCTCTTTGGAACGGGCTTGACTCTGACCTCTGGGGATGTCCTGTGGTGTCTGGCAACAGAGGACTGGCAGCAAATCCTTTGAGTCTTGTGGGCTGCAAAATGGGCTACCAGCACATCCCACAGATGCTCCAGTGGATAGGGATCTGGGGGGTAATTGAAGGCCAGGTCGATGCCTTGAGAGCTTTGTTATGTTCCTCAAGCCATTCCTGAATAGTTTTTTGCTTTGTGGCATGGTGCGTATCCTGCTGGGGGGCCACTGCCATCAGGGAGGGCTGTTGCCGTGAGGGGGGTCCTTGGTCTGCAACGGTGTTTGAGTGGGTGGAACATGTCAGGTGGTATCCACATGAATGCCAGAACCAAAGGTCTTCTATTAGGACTCTGCATTGTAACAAGATGATCAAAGTCTATAGTGCACTTTGTGAGTCCTCTATGCAGAGGATACTGTATGCTCACACACACACACACACACACACACACACACACACACTTTTCTTCCATTTACAAAATGAATGCAATATTATTCTGTGGCTCTTCGAGGAAGAAGGTGGTAAAAGCAGCACTCCCAACAAGCTGCTCGCAACCCAGTGCAGTAAATCAGGAAAGACACACACCAGGACACAGAAAACACGCATTTAAATGTAAAATAAATAATCAAACATTGAAATAAAACTCACTATCTTGTTTTGAAGAGGTCTATGATAGTTTGGTTTGATACATTCTTTATATAAAGTTTGCTAAAATATGCTTACACTTGTTAATGCATTCATTCCTTGGGCAGTTCAACATTATTGTCTGAGGGTAACGTTTAGACAAACAAACTTTTACAAATAGTTCATTTTTAATGTTTTTTTTTATTTCTAATGGCATGAACTTTAAATTTAAAGGTTCTTGAATATTGGTGAAGGTGTGGTAAAGCTAAAGCCACAGAAAAAAACTTGGTTTGAGTCAGTGAAAGATTGTGGTTTGGGTTGAAATAATTGCGTTTCAGCACAATCATGTTATCTTCCTCTAAAAGTGAAAAACGTCCACACTGGCAACGTGTTTGACTCTTTAGTTAGCATGCTGCGCTCACTCCTCTTCTTTGCTGTGTTTACTGGCAGTGAAGCTGCTTTGATCAATAAATTTAGCTTTGTATTACTGGCTCTATTTATTAGCTGTAATTGTATTATTGGAATAATAAATAATAATATAAATTCCCCATTATCATCCAATAATCTGTCAGCCTGACATGTTTCCCGCATCCCTGTTATTTATTCATTCATGAGGTAATCTCTGTATTTTACATGTCACAGTCTTTGAAACATCAACACATGGATATCAAAGAATTAAAGTTCCTACCAAAACGCTTTGAGTGTTTTGTGACATTTTCATAACAATACAGTTTTTCAAATTGAGTAAAAATAGTGTAAATGATTCCTCTGTAAAGTGCATTAATATAAAGTGCATTAACATCTGACAGTTTTAAAGAGCTTTGAAAATAGATATTTTCTATTTGGCTTCCACTTTGCTTTTATGCTGCCTCCTGCCTTACTCTACTATGATGAGCTTGTTAACAGAAGAATATTAAATTGCAGACACAGTGTCTGATGTTTTTTCTCCACACTCTCATCACACTGCATCTGGATATGAAAGAATACAATGGCTGGTCTGGTGAAATGTAGACCTTTTTCCCCTCCAGGGTGACAATTAATTAAAACAAAAATATCAAATGAAT